ATTCTTTCCAGTGGGCTAAAGGGGCAACGCAAGTGCCTGGAAGAAAAATAACCATTGTTTGAGACGAGATGAGGATGAGTTTAACTCATTAACTACTTCACCAATATGAAACATTTCATCTGATGAGAACTTGATCTCAGTCATTTAGTTCAAGACTTCTCTTTTTAACTACAGCATTGTGTTTTTTTTTTCAAATTGTGCTCCAATTTAGAGTAAAATCTACTAAAGTAGAAGATGCTTTGGGGTGTGGCTTATTGGGAACAATGAGTCATGGCAGTGGCAACCTGTGAGCCCAAAAGCACACACAGTAATGTGTATTCAATCTCCAAATACAGTTTCTTAAGGATCCAAAATATCAAAATGTTGACAGCCAGAAGCAGACAGACACTTGTAATATGATGAAAATACCAATCCCTGCTATTGTTCTTTATGTAAATGGCCTTGAGCGTGTATAGTGCTTTTCTATTCTCCTGACTACTCAAAGCACTTTTACACCGCATGTCACACCTACACATTCACATCCATTCACACACTGATGGCAGAGGCTGATACGTAAAGACTTTAAACTTAAATTCAGAAGTATCTAGTCCCATTCATACACATACCGATGACAAAGCAGCGGGAGCAACTTGGGGTTAAGTGTCTTGCACAAGGACACATCTGACATGTTTCAATTGAAACCCTAATACAAAGCAGTTGACACAACTTATTCAGAAATCACCCAAGAAAAGGTGAGTAGACCGTTGCAGTCGCCACAACTCCATGTTTGCGTTGTTTTCATGCAAACACTTTGCTTTCTGATGTTCTTGCAATAAACAAAATCAGAAGCCTGCTACCAATGTAATGCATAGTGTGCAAATCTTCTCAATAATGCTTTAATAAGCTCTTAAAATAAGTAAAGTAAAGAACACTGTATAGTGACCTAATGATAAATTCGGTCCTCACACACAGGTCTTTTAAAATCAGTATGTCTGGCTATGGTAATGTATTAAAAGCATAACACTGTATCCATTACCCTTAAAAAATTAGGATTTGGTCTTCATTTTGCAGAAGGTGTGAGTTAATACTACATATTATAAATATGTGGAAATCGTCAGCACTTGGCGTTACCATTGTGAGTCTGTATTCCCCGCACATCTATATCAAATTAAAGGTAGGAGAAGGGAAGTGAGAAGTTTTTGCCAAATGATGCAACAATTTCACTGGTCAATGCAACTTCACACTGAACATTCTGAGAATCTAAGTGAAATCTGATTTGAGTTGAATTTTTCAGCTTCAGGGATCGCTAATGGCTGGTTTGGGATAGGGTTAACATGTTTTGGTTTTTTTCACCTGCCAGAAAAATGAGGGGAAACATGTAATGGGGCTGAAGATATCTCCAATTCCTTCACACCACATAAAACCCTTCATGTTTCACAAATGTTGAGAGCTACAGATTTAAGAAGCAGCACGAAGAGCAGTCATCTGAGATACACAAAAATTAAATGAATGAATCATGCTGCTAATGTGTTTGGTAACATTTATTTGATGTGACTAAATACAAAGGTCCTTGTGAAAAATTACTTTTAAGAGGATAAGGTCCGTCAAGGCCCACAGATGAATTCATTTTATAACTCTTGAGTTGATTACGTTTATATTAAATTGTATACCATTCTTTGACTCCATTTAGTTTGAAACAGCCCTACATGATATGTGCCTGAAGATTTTTTTTAGCATGTTTTCAGGCTGCTTATATTTCTGTCTAATCTAAGGCTGGGAATCTTTGGGTGTCTCACGATTCGATTTCCATCTAGTCATCTGTGGGACTGGCTGAATTTCTTGTTGCTCCATTTAGCATTCTACTGAGGTAAAGAGCAAGCATTAGCACTTAGCAGGGAGGGACTGATTAGCCCAGAAAAAATGTGGAAGTTATGAATCAATTTAAAATCTCAGAAGATAAGAATCTCGATTTTTACATAAAACTTTTTTTTATAGTAATAGTAACAGTTATAGTAACATGATTGTTGTTGAAGGTTAACAAGGCCTACAGATGGTGACTATGAAAGGGGGAAACATATCAATATTAAGAGTTAATGTCCAGGAGGCTTCAATAAACACAATGTTCAATGTTTTGTCATTATTTTTTGCATTTCTCTCCTCATCTGATTTTTTTAGGCAATGCTAGACATGTTTATTTGCTGACCATAAAAATCAACTAAAGCTGCTTTTCACAAAAAAAAAACTGAGCATTAAAAACATAATCAATTAAAAGATAAATAATATTGAAAAATTAAGTAAAAGAAGAATTTGCTAAAGTCCATAGTTTAAGAAAATTAAATAATTGTGGTGAAAAGGAGAATTTTTGTTTTGTCAGAGTCGGGGGTTAGTCACACACACATCATAGGGAATATTATTCCAGGTTCATGATACATGATAATAAATTCTGTGTGTTTTGTTCTGACTCTGGGAATGGCCAGAATGCCAGCCTCAGATGTCCTCAGGGACCTCCTTGGTTCACATGTCACAAGCATGTCAGAGATGTATTTCTGAGTCACAGATAGGCCTATACACAAACAGTGAAATGTAGAAATGAATGCTCTGGCTTACAGGTAGCCAATGTCAGCATTTTAGAACTGGAGTAATGAGATCATGTTTTTTAGTTTTCATAAGGACTCTTGCAGCTGCATTTTTGAATATGCTGAAGTTGCAAAGCAGCTTGTTTTGAAAGCCCTTTGAACAGACCACTTCAGCAACATAACCTGCTGAAAATAGAGACACGCATAAGCTGTTCTAGGTCTTGCTTCAACATTATTCCTCTGACTCTTACATGTTTTTAAATAATAAAGATGACACTCTGTCTTTCTAACAGTCACACAAAGACATATTATGTCCATCTTATCTCTGTTAGGTCGGAAGTTTGCAGAAAAGTCAGTCATTTATTCGCTTGATGCAAGTACAAAGTTTAATTTTAAATGTATAAGAAAGACAAATTACAATTACCAAAAATGGTCTCCTCCATTTACATCATTAGACGCTTTCCTTGCTTATTTACTAGTAAAGTATAAGTTGGCCTGAAATCACAGGACTTACCAAAATCAGCTGGGAGAGAATAACCGATAGGTTGATATATATGTGAGTGAGTAGTGCTAATAACTTAAATAGTTTCTTCATCTTTCTAACCTGTATCTATATTTAAACAATATCAGGGACTTTGTAATGGATAGGACTTTCCATATGGGACCTTTAAATCCTGAAAATGAATTTCAATTATAATTTCATTACAAGATGTGTTATCAGTCATGAGTCACAACAGCTGACAGTTTCCTTTAAAATGTCTATGACTTTCCAAACAACAAGAGCAAATAAGCTGCAAGGCCAAAATGATTCCACTAGAAACAGGCTACAAATTCAGAGTCAATCTAAATAACATACAAAACATATTACAAGTGCAAATCAACAACCTGTCAGGAGTTAAACTGTCCTCAGTGTCTATGACTCTTTTTCTATTTTTTTCCTCAGTAATGTTGTGGTTAGCGCCTATTTTTGAACTTGATTAAAAATGTTTAGAGCCTGACTGTTGTGATGCTGGTCCGGCAATACTTTGTATAAAACAGTACTACCTCATGGTATATATGTCTGTCCACTACTTTAAATTCTAAACTGCTCCAAAAGTTAAACATCTGCTCAAAGAGCATAGGCCAACCAATAACTTTATGTTTCAGCCTACGATAAAAAGATCATCACCCCTGACCCTAACCACGCTCAGTTAGAACACAGAATATGAACTATTACCATCAAACCGGAGATACAGGGTCAAATGTTTTAATAAGGTCAGACTGAAACACTCTTTTGTTCACCAGCTAATACTCAAATTGAATGCAGAGCAGATTCCCAGATCTAAGCACGATTAAGGCCTCTGAATATTTGTTTGGTGTTTGAGTGTTGTGTCAAATCTTTGTATCTTGTCTTAGTTTTTATGTTGCAAATGGAGCCGCTTTGCAAGACAAATCTCAGACCATATCTGACAATAAAGTTCAAAATCAAAAACACACAGTCCAATCAAGTGCCGAGTTCACCTGTATGGAATGAAGACAGTGTATCACAAACTTTAAAGACCTTTCATGTCAATCTCTTTTTCTTTGCTTGACAATACACACACAAACCCTGAGACACATCAGTGGTAAGTGGGAACTTATTCCACTATACTAGAGCAACCTACAATAACCTTTCTGATATTTTTAATATCACGCTGCAGATGGAAGGAGAGTCAATGAAAGGACACCCAAACTGCAGCAGGCAGCGCCCCAAGCCCAGAAAGTTACACTAAGTACATTTGAAAAGGTATCTATTGCAGCAAAGAAACACAGCTGAAGAGCTCTGCTTACAAGGTCAGGGTTTAAAGTGAGTGTACGTACTTTTAAGTTGAGAAAACACTCAGCGGTTGCAGTAGTAATTACCGGTACATCATTCGGCCGCACTTTTTCTCGCCCTTGATGTATGTTAAGCTGTAGTAGAGTGTAATATTATTCAAGCAGGCCAGGTTCTAAGAATGCTTGAATGAGCAGCTTCCTTAACACAGCCACAGTAGTCCCTTTGCTAAAATTTAATATTCCACACTCTAAGCTTACTTCATCTTGTTCATACCTCATCTCGCCCTCCCCCCCACTCCTCAATTCTCATGCTCCGTAGCCGACTGAGGATTACGCCGGCCTCTATTGTGTGGCCAGCGGACCGTCTGGCTCACACTCCTTCAGTGGAAAAACTATATCTCCTAGCTGCACAGGATTTCTGGTCAGTGGACAATGTTGGAAAATACTGGCTTTGTTGTGCACGGTATACTATTAAGTATGAGGTATAATGCTGCAATCACCAAAGTACAGGGTGGCTCTTTCTTACATTTTCTGAAAGCTAGTCATGAGGCTGGGAGCACCTCACAAGGTTTAAGTTCTACGATGAAAAAGCAAGTGTAACACCGCTACTTTTCAACACTCGTCATCCGTGAGTATAAAAAAAGGGCTGACCTTGATCAGACAGGAAGTCCAGCATGGTCTGCAGCAGGAAGGACAGGTGACGGACAGACAGGCCAGGGTTGCCCATGCGACGGGAGGCGTACACCAGTTCATGCAGGAGGCGCATCTGAACCGCAGCCCAGCCTCTGTGGGTACCTGAGAGAGAGGTGGCAAAGAGAAATTCACATTGACAAAGCTTAAAAAAGGCTCATCGCTGACATCTAATGTTAGACAGCTGTCATTTAAGATCAGCACAGATACATCGTTTCATAGTGAAACACCTTTGTCATTTAAATCAGAGTCATCATTTTTATTTGTAGGAAAGAATTCCAAAATTATAGAGTGACGTGCTTCTCACATCCATTGGCCCGAAATACACACATGCACAAAAAAAAGGATCCTATGGACATGCATTAATGGAGAGATGTCAGAGTGAAGGGCTGCAAATGAAAGAGCGCCCGAGCTGTTGGGTGTTTGGTGCCTTTGCTAAAGGGCACCTGAGCAGCACTCTGGAATTGACCTGGCACCTTTCCAGCAGCCAGACCAACTTCCATACTTTGGTCTGCACCAGGCTTTGAATCAGCGACCCTTTGGTTCCCAACCCAAGTCCCTACAGACTGAGGTTCTGCCGCCCTACTGCTGGTTACTTGACAGAACATTTTTAAAAGTTTGGTTGTTGTAATCAAACTGTTTTCTTTTGTTTCTTAATAATGCTGGAATCTTATTTAAGGTCATATCTACAAGCACACCTGCATAATAACTACCCACATATGTATTCAGAGACAAACGTGCTTTTGAAGGCGCAACAACAGTGCGACTAACCTTTCCAGGTCTGCATCTGTCATGCTCCACTCACAACAGGCCACACATAATTAAATCCATCTCAAGACTTTTGATTTGATCCCGTCTCTTAAAACTGAAGTGTCCCCACTGCGGACTATCAGATGAGCCCCAGCACGATGCTAACTTAGCCACATGGATTTTCTCTGCAGATCTCCACAAGACATCTTAATAGCATTCTAGCCTGACACCAACTGTTACATAAGACCCTCAGCCCCCCTACCAGATCCCATACTCCGCTCCCAGCTGTCGACTGTTGACTCACTAAGTGGGAAAGAAAAACCACAGGAAAGATGTGCAGGGGAGGCCTGAGGGGCAAGAGGGAGGGAAAGAGGATATTTGGTAAACACTTTGATGCTTCCTCAATTAAAAAAGCTTATGATGCTTTTCAGTAATCAGCACAGCATTTCTTTTTTTTTCTTTTTTTATCCTGACTTCATCTGTCATCCGAGCAAACTGTAAATGCAATTCCTTCATAAACAATTTTTCTGTGGTTAAACTGCACCCACTTGGCAGGCTAAAAATAGCTGAAATCCACCTGACTGCTAAAACCAAGCGCTTATCTGGATCCAAAAAAAAAAAACAGTAATCCAAAAAAACACTTTGGATTTTCTCACAATGTCGCTCTCACTCAACCCAAAAGTGACTTAATTTGCGGTATTTTAAGACTTGAATTGAAGGTGTCTGGAAATCCATTTAACACACCACCAAGATAACAAGCGTGGTGTCGCGGCCGAGAAGCTGCACTGTCATGCAAAACCTGACTATAAAAGGCATTTTTAGCTTCGGGACAACTCGGATGAAAGTAGTGAAATTTTCTCCTGTGCAGACGATACCACCATTACTCTCCCTCATAATAAACATGCACGTTATTACAAGGTAAAGAGCTCCAAATGTCTTGGATGGCAGGACAACGGTAGAGGAAAGGACAGTCACACTACTTCAGGCTGAAAAAAAAGGAGTACTGAGTGAATAGTGGCCTTATTGGAATTCATTATTGATCCTCATTTTCCCCCACTTGAACTTGCCTCTCCAGTGTATTGCTTTATTAACTCCCACCTGATCCCTTCTGACAAAAGACTTGGAATCGTCATTTCCTGCTTTCTCACAAACACTTTGGGCACTCAGAGTGGATACCCCAGCGGCACACCTCCAATCCCTCTCCACTAGCATTCGCATGAAGGAGTAATGAGTTAGAACGCATCATAATTAAGCACCATTAGCACAAGCAGCGGACATACTGTCCTTTAATGGAGCTGCAATTGTCTGTGGCCTGCATTGTTGTTAGCAGGCTAATGTTAGCACACATTGCTTAACTCATAGCTTTATATTCCACATACATTTTCACAGAATGACCGGGATCTAAAGACACTTATGTGACATCCAAACTGAGTAGACTATTTTCTTCTTCTTTTCTCTAGTGCTTGACTAAAACAGCTTTATACACAAGGCCGTCCCCTTCCATGTAATCATGATGTAAACACATCTCCAATAACTGTACAGTTGGTGGACAGAAATGAAGTGTCCTCTTAAGTGTTGAGATGTGTGTTTAAAATGCACCAAGACAAGTCACATATTCTTTGTTGTTTTTAGGTTTTAGATTTAAAAAATGTTGTAAAAGTTATAAGATGAATGGCAAAATGTATAACCTTTAAAAACAGAAAATACTTTTTCATTAAATAGTATTTGTGTGTGTTTGTTATGGCAAATTTAATTACAGTGGTACATTTAGTCTATTGAAATCACGGCGCAGTGCATCAATAATTAAGTGCAATAAGAGTGAATTATATTACAAAACCAGTTAAAACAACCTTTTACAGAAGAGGTGAAAACACTCCACCTCAAACAATCTACGGCATGTTTCTATTCACAGTTTTAAAAGGAAACTAGGCTAGAGATCAACAGCACATCTGACACAAATCCTCTCACAGCGTGGCTTTAACAACACTCATAAGAGAAAATACGGACGTCCCTGAGCTTTTCTGTTCATCGCGAGTCTGTCTTTTTTTTTGTTGCCCATGCTTGCCATTGAGTGGCTGCAATGAACAAGGGTGAAGAGTCTGAAGAACCAAGAGGTTTATCATGAGGACCTAAGCAAAGAGTGTACAAAAGCCCCGGGTCAGGTCTTAACTGTGCCTCTTTGTGAGCAAAGTGGTGGCTTGAATGTAAAATATCCTGAAGAAGCACTCTTGAGCTTGAGGTGGAATGCAGTGATCCTTTTCATTTCATTTATCTATTTAATATGTGTTTACACGTCTCCCACTCAACTATTCAGGATCATGAAAGCTTTCTATTTGAAAAAGATTAATTCTGTGAGATTTACTCCTTTTCACAAGCAGAAGGTCAGCACATCTTCACGTCAGACCCGTATAAATAAGTGAATAAACCACATATGAAATGAGGTGAGCAATCCCTCTGTTTGTTTTGACTCCGCTCCGGGTAAAAGCATTTTGTTTTCAGGCAGTCTGTCCGTCTGTCTGTTGCATTTTAGGAACAGTACTTCAAGAACCCCTTTTCTAGTCTTCTGACTACTCTAAGCGCTTTTACGCCGCAGGTCACACCTACACATTCACACACTGATGGCAGAGTTTGCTGTGTAATGTGACCATCAGAAGTAACTAATCCCATTCATACACATTCATACGATGCCGAAAAAGGAGCGGGAGCAATTTGGGGTAAAGTGTCTTGCCCAAGGACACATCGGACATGTTGCTGTAGGAGCTGGGAATCGGACCCCTAACCTCCCGATTGAGAGAAGACCGATTCTACCACTGAGCCACAGCCGCCCCACAGCTGACACACCTACCTACCTCATAAAAAACAACTGGAACAAACCACCATTTGGAATCAAGAAGGGAACAATTACAATTTACAGTCCAAAGGTCAGTGCAATATCTCAAAAAAATTCACAATTCACACAAATGTTTGAGGTATTGACATTTTCTTCAAGTCATCTTCTCTGTGAAAGCATTGTGTCCTGGAAAAACACTTTTCTATTCATTTGTCATCCTATACATCAGAAACACCTTGAGGAGAATAAGATTGATAAAGAATTTGAACTTTTTGATAGCACATGTTTTAAAAAGATACAATCTCTGTTATCTTGCAAATTGATTTTTTTTTTATTATTTAAGTATTAAAGCTTAAAAAAAATAAAGCTACCCCGAGTGAAAGAGACAGAGAGCACTGTCTTAATTGAACAAATATGTTTGCAGTGTTTCAATAAAATAACACCCACAATATTGGGTGCCTTGGACCATTATTTTTGTCACCTTGGTATCAAAACAGATATTGATATCATTTTATTATTTCTAGTCTCGCCTCTAAATTGGGCAAAAATTTCCATTTAAGCTCCAGGGTGAACTAACTGGCAATTGTTGGTTGCAGACAAGATACACAGTCGACCACTAGACGAGACAAATATTCTGAAGATGAAAAGTTCTGAATTGTAAGTCTAAAAGAAGAGGTTAGTGACTTGTGATTTGTAGTTGTTTACCTCAATTACTTCAAAGTGTCTGTGTTTACCTTTGCTGAAGTCCTTGGGATCCAGTGACAGGCTGTATCCAGGTAATGTCTCCAGCAGCAGCTTGTAGCATGCCCTCCAGCCAGGCTCCGGGATGGTTGGAGCCACACACTGCATGGCTGCGACGCGCTTGAAAAATGCAGACTTGCGATGGAAGCCAATCAGTTCATAGAGCTCAGACAGGATGCTGTAGCGTTGGATCTTCTCCTCCTCTGATAGCTGCAGTATTAGAGACATTACATAATGACTTCTGCTTCCTCCCAAAAAAAAAAATCTTTGAGTTCACTGTGACATATTGAGCTTCACTGTGCAGCATTAAAGATCTGCAAAAGATTATTTTTCCATTCTTATGCTCAAGAGAAATACTTCTCTGTCCTCCCCACATATTATGCAAAATGCACTTCACAGTGGTTTTCCAAAACTAATATGTGTCCCTAGCCTGTCTACAAACCCCTCAGTTATGAGATATGTCTTTCCTCTCTGTGTTTTGCCTGCTCCACTTTTCAGAAAATGTGTCCTAAAACAGGCCGACTGGGGATTTTCCCTTTGTGACATCACAAAGGGCAGTAACCCCTCCCCAAGGTGGTTGACACTTCCACAGCCAAGTTCTGCCCTCTGAGTCCGCAATCTCCCCGTAAACAATAGGGCATGGTGCAAGAAAGCCCAAGTGACCCAAGCCCTTCCAGAGAGGGGGCGTGGTCAGACACAGCTCATTTGCATTTAAAGCTACAGACACAGAAACAGCCTGTTCTGAGCAGGGCTGAAATAGAGGGGTTCATAGGCATGATCAAATACAGATCAGAGTGGATTTATAACAAGAAACTTCACAGACATGTTCTGGAGAGCTCTGAGACTTATTTAAACTTGTTGAAAATAAATCTAATATATGACATTTAAATTTGAGGTTTTTTATTCAAAAACCTAATATATGTTCATTATTTAGTGACATAAAATGTGTGGATATCGATCTTGGTCTTAAAATCACTTTACATAATTGAGATAAGGAAACTCCAGAGCACAAAGACAACAGATTTTGTGCAGCAGTGATGGAAATCTTCTGTCGAGCGGTAAAACTTTTGACCCAAATCATATTTACATGTTTATGGATTCTGAATATTTCAGTGAAGAAAGGGATTCAATTTCAGTCCATGAATTTTTAAAGAGGTAGTTTGAAACTGTTGTATGAAAAAGACTTATCAAACACAATTACTATTCTAAGATCTTAATATTTTATACACAGTGCCTTGTGTTTTGTTATTTTTCATCCCCTTAGACTATTCTACATTTTGAAGTGTTACAAATATAGTTCATTAGGCAGTGCAACAAATGTGCATCCTCCACACAAACAAAATCAAATCTGAAAGCAAGGATGAGGGAGGAGGTGAAAAGCAACTTTCTAATTGAACATGTAAATAAACTGCCATTTAACCTTCATTCACTTATTATGTAATTATTTAAATGATATAAAGGTTAAGAATCTGAGCAAATAATTCACAGGGCAATCCTGTATTTCATTTTCTTGGTTGCATAGCTTACTACATGATACATGAGACAAGAAGAAAATGGTAAAGGGGAGATGTGTTTTGATGCTTTTTCTCTAATCTTTATCCTGATTCAACCTCACACCAGACTGCTGGTGGTCTTATTAATCATCCTGTGGAGCATGAATAGCTTCCATTACTCGTTCAGATAGCGTACCTGCCCCAGGTTGATGTAAACAGCATTCTGCAGGAACTCGGAGGCCTCCCTTGCCCTTTTCTGAATGGCCAGCACCCTCACCGCTTTCACACAGGCCTCCAGCTCGATCACACCGGCGTTCTTATACTGCGAGAGACAAGAGGAAGAGCGGCGTTAATGAAAAATGAGGGTCCCCTTGACTTCTTCAAATTACCTCTTATGTTAGGGAATGTTTTTCCATAAACATACGACCATCCTCACTTCAGACGTGTGATGAAAGACAAGAGAGATGACTTGAAATTCCTTTAATTTTCAAGGGATTCCCAGCAAGTTCTGCGTCTGTGCTACCACTTAGAACCAGAGCGTCTGCTGCTGAGGCTCCGTGCCGCTGCAAGTGTATGCATTTTTTATCTCGCTATCTCTCAACTTCCCTCCACTTCCAGCCTCATTGTCTCCTTATTAAAATTCAATTAATATCTGAATAGCTATGTGTTGAGATGTAATTTAATTCTGAATGAACTAGTTACAGGTAAAAGGGCTGAGGGAGGTCAACGCAAAGAGGCAATTATAATAATGAAGATAAAGTACAGGGCTGCTCCTGAATAGTTCCGTAGCATAATGAGCCCATTCATGCCTTCCCTAAGCATCAGGGATACCTTCAGACTGTTCTTTGTGACGTTGTACGAGTACAGTGGTCAAAGGTGAGCACACATATAGAATATCATGAAGGGATACATTAAAAATTAAACATTGTTTTGTGTGTCCGCCTTGTTACTGAATAATAAGGTTCTTTTTTCCAGACATTACACATGCTTTCATAGCTTTTCACAGTCTTCTGCTAGTGTAACCTTAAGAAATAAAAAGCTGCTGTCAGCATTTACTGGTCTTGAAGGACTCAAAAACACAGAGTCTTTGCTGCCTTCAAATTCTAGTAAAAGAAATCCAATACTGCCCCCTAGTGTGGAAGTAGCAACATGTCTGCCTATAAGTGCTGTTTTTGAGAGCTACATGAACTATTTATAGTGTAATCATTGATCAGAAGAGTGGAGGGATACGGAACAACCTTTAATTACACAATTTAAGGTGTCTGTAAATCAGTTTTGACTGGTGGACATGTGACTTCTTTATGCACAAATATGTTAAAATGTTAATTCAGAGTTTTTGCGATCACTTTCACAGATCTAGGTGGTCAGGAGTTTAGCAGTTCAACAAAAATGTTAAGCATTTATTTTTAAATCTTTTTCTGGTGAGAAAAAATGATCAACTAATTTGATTCCTTTAAAAAAAAAGAATGTTTTGACACAGATTGAAATATCAAGTATTTTAAAAAGAAACACTGGAGAGAAACAAATGTCACTAAAGAAATTTCGAGCCCATTGTTTTTGTTTCTAAGTTTGTTTTTGTTTGGTTTCTTTGGACAATGGATGACCAGATTTTTTTGCTCGTCTTCTTGCCAGAGCTTCATTGAATTTCATTAACTCAGAAAAATAATTATCCATCAAACATTTCATTTGGTTATTATTAAACAGTTACTGATTAGTTGAATCATTTCTAGCCTTTTATTACAAATCCCTTCCCCATGAAACATTGTCTGAAGAGATTGAAACACTTGAGTTTGTTATTATGCAGCTGATCTTTTGTCCATGTAATTTATTATTAATTCAAATACAATTTCCTATAATATGCACAATTCATAATCTCTTTATTGAAACACTTCTTTAAAAATCATTTTATTATTCAAAGGAATAATGTGCGACTTTTTGATCCAGTAGATGTCACCCTTGAGCACCAGCATGAAACCAAAACAAACTGCTGTTTGGAGACACCTCCGCTATTCTGAAGCCTCCTAGTTATTAATTAGAACGCACCATAATAAGGCACCATTAAGCGCAAATGTGTTCTTTGCTAGAGCTGCAATTTCCTGTGTCCTGTATTGTTGTGCAGGCTAATGTTAGCACACTTACTGATAGCTTCATGTTGCACATAAATTGACACAGAATGACCGACATTTAAAGACACTTACATGACATCCAAACTGAGTAGACTATTTTCTTCTTCTTTTCTCTAGTCCTTGACTAAAACAGCTTTATACACAAGGCCGTCCCTTCCATGTAATCATGAGGATTTACTTGATTTCTGCTGTATTTATGTGTAACATGTCACACATTCTCCCTTTACACCAGGGTCAAGAAATTGTAATGTTTATCAAACCTATTTATTTGAATAAAGTGTTTTCTATCACCACATGGTTACATTCTTGATAAACGGATGCGGTGTTTGGTCCGTACCTTTCCGTAGTAGGAGATGGCCTCTTTGTACTTCTCGATAATGTCCTCAGGACTCAGGCAGTTCTTTGCTCGTCCGATCTCAGTGCTGGTGTCTGCACTGATGCCGTTGGCAGTGAGGGCACCTACACTCAAAAGAGGATAATGTCATTAGTTTAGCCAAAACAACAGGCCAATCTTTCGGCAGGCTGTTCCATCACAAAAGGAAAGGAAACAACACGAAGAAGGGGGAAACTGAAATCCACCACTTACTCTCTAAAGACAGCGCCCTGGCTACCACATGCATGTTTATGTCTGTATAACTGAAGGGACACACAAGCTTGAGAGAAATGTTTTTAATCTAGTTTGAATGATTATGATCATCCCTAAAACTTGCTACCCCGACCTTAACACAAGAATTTTGCCAATGAAAGGAGATGTGGTCAGAATCATGTGTTTTTTTTGCAACATTTCAGAAGTTACATTTGCACCTGTCATATTGCAAAGGCATTTGCAAGTTGCATTTCTCAACCAAATCTGATTAGAATACAAATAACAATCGAGAGTGCATCGTCTAGCAATGGGTCTGTGTCCATAGCAACAACTGTGGGTCTGTCTGAATGACAAACGTGTGAATATGAGATGCTGCATTGCACTACTTTTAAGGCTAATGTGCACATGGAGCAAGAGAATCACTTCAGGCAATAAGAATGATGTAGTATTGTATTTTGTGCATCATTATTTAAATACATTATGTCAATTCATGTTATGAAAGGTTGTGAGGTAAATCAAATGCAGGAAATCAAAATAAGGTGGACTGCCACCTGTTTGTGCATCAGAAGACGTTTATGTCCTTGTAATCAAAAAGCTAGGATAAAGTGATTTTTGTGTGATTATCTGGGGGAAAGATGCAGCTGGTTTAATAATTGAGCTGAAAAAAATGTCAAAAGAATATACAGGCATCTATAAGCCGCCAAAAGTGTGGCTGTGGGACAGAGCAGGTACATTAGAAACAAAAACAAAAGGTGATGATGAACCAACACAGGAGAAGATTACCTGCCACAGGAGAGGGGGAAAAAAACATCAATCAATTTCCAAACGATAAAATAAACCATAGGAATCAGGGTGCTGATAATGTGAGACGGGGGGGAAAAAAAAACATCAAACACAAGGGCAAGGGCAAACGTGGCCACAAGCAAACAAGCAGACTGGTGAGCTATGTTGGTTAGGCATACCATACCTGGATCAATGAGAACCTCCTGAGCCCCTACAGACAGAGAGAAAGAATGCAGATTCACTCCATGGCGCACGGTGCAATGTTAGCAGTGTTAGTCTTAACAGTCTGCATAATGCCAGCTGCTCCATTCCTGTAAAATCTCCTTCATTGAAGAGCCACGATAAACTCTTTGCATGCACTTTACGTCGACAAAATACATAACCGTATCCTGTCAAGTTTTAGATCTTGTTTTTTTTTTTTTAAGCGAGTCACCTTTTTAAGTCTTAACACATGCACAAGGAGGATGCATGCTCATACATGCTTACAGGTGACACAATGAGAAAGGCGGCAGTTACAATCCAAAACACGCATTATGTTAAAAAAAAAAAGTCAGAGAAGAAAAGACTAGTAGAAACAAAAATTTAAAAAAAAAAAAAATGCATGTTCAAATCTTTTATAAGGTTTCAGTAAACAGCTGGCACAGGGCAGTTGGATTCTGCACATTAAGCTGTTTCTTTAAAGCAGAAAGCAAAGAACGGACGCATTATGGCTAGTAACTGGCGTAAACAACAGCCAATAGAGTTAAAGTGAAATTATTCAAACAAAGTCACATGACAACCAATAAGTGCTCACAGTGTTGTCCTGTACGTACAGTAAGGGGGAAGGGCTTAAATACAACGACAGAAAACCCCCCAGGAGTGAAAAGTAAATCAACATTTGTTTATGTTTTCTGGAGAATGGCAAACACTAAAATATTCTTAAGTAAGCAAAAATACAAATAGCCTTTTTTTGTAATGTTTGTGCCAGATAACGGCATATATTTCAAAATGACAGCATGCCATTTGATATGAAAAAACAACTGAACAACTGAACTTTACTTTGTTTACAAGGAAGCTTCACACAACACTTACTGGTTTAACCATTGTGTTTAAAATATGTTAAAATATGTTAAAACATTATGTTTTAGACTCCTTTAAAAAAGTGCATCTATGTCCTATGCAATTGTCAGTTTTTATGTCTGTTTTCACAGTGCTGTTGTGTCGTATGTTTTTATTTCCGAGAAGCCTAAAGCACATTTCTTGTAATTAAAACTCCTGAGAAAAATGTTAAAAAACGAATTTCTTTCAAATACTGCAATACCATCCAATCCAACATTTCCTCAAGAATCTGCACTTCTATTTGTCTAGATTGACTTGATTTTCTGTATCTATATTCAAAGCTACAATCACTTTCTTACAGTGTCATTCATACGTACATGCGCCGCCTTTATTCACGTTTCTGTAAATACAGCACAAATCATCGCTGCATAATTCACCCACTTTTTTACACTAGTTTATGTTAATTCTGTGGAAATCAGTGCAACATCATCGCTTACCTTTTTGGTTTTATCTTGATTTTTTATATTTGTTTACATTGTTATGTCCATTCTGCTAAAGTTATGGTTAGGTTTAATCATATGTTATGTAATTTCATGTTTTATATGCTATGTTATTTCAGCCAAGTGAAAATGATAAAGTGAATGTATAAGCATCTCTTCTAAAAACGATTATGAACTCTACATTAATTAACTGTAACCATAATCTGTTGCAAACCTTATTTAGTCCTCAGATATCATCCAGGAATAATCAAAGCGGCACGTTATCAGTGTTCTTATGAAGCAGAGGATAATGCTTTGCTGATTGGCATGTCAAAATCAATTTCACATTCAATGTAGTTACACACAAGGCAGTGTTAATATAACACCATGTTAATAGCATGCTAATGACAAAGAAGACAGATTAAATTATGTTAAATTGTAATCAAGTTCATCAGAGTCATCAGTGTAAATCAGAGGAGCTTCACCAGCTTAGGAAGCTAACATCTTGTTCTCGCCACACAAAGGAAGCTGCTTAGCTGAGCGAAGCGTAGCGATGTTTGGGTCGGCAGTCAGAGATGACACTCTCGCTCAGTCGTATTCACAGACAACAGCCCGTTCAGATCGCCGTTGTTCATCAGTGTGGTTACAGAGTCGTGTGCTCACCTGGTCTGTGGCGTTTCCCTGCGTCCGCTGGCTGGGAGACGCTCGGCTTTCGCCCCAGGGTCTTCCCCGCTGTGCCTCCAGGGTAGTGGAATATGACAGAAGCTGAACACAAACCCTCCAATGCAGCTAGAGAGCAAAAATAACAAAAAGACAACAACAACAAAAACATTCAATCAGTGCATGCTCTTCTTTTCCTTCACTTACAAAAGTTTGAAGACCCCTATGTTTGCACTATGGATGGTAAAGAAGAGCAGCAATAAAAGGGAACTACCTTTAGCCACAAAACGCTGAGGAAAGCAGTTTGAAAAATCTGTCTGTAACTGGCAGCATCAGAGGCCCCTTCTCTACCAGACATCATGTGGGATTTGAACATGGAAAAGTGTTTTAAGCGATTTTAATACCCCAATATGTTGATTTTTAAGGTATGAGGACCTCTGTGATAATTCGGCTCTAGTAGAAACCTACTTAGTGACGAAAGAAATCCTAACCCAACTACAAGGTGAGCTCCTCAGCTCATCTTGCAGTCCTCCCATGACCTGCTGAGTCTGTCAAAGAGCTTTTTTTATCCTGTTAAAATCTTTTTTTCAGTGATTTGATCGGTTCCAATTACCTTAAACAGCCTTAGAATGTATTGTAGATAGAATATAGTTACTTACACATACTAAAGCTATATTCAATTAATGAACTGTTTGGCTTATTCAAGATTTCTTCATTATCATGACACTTCACAATGATACTGTGATAATGTCAAAATTCATCAATTAAGAAAATATATAAATAAACAGAAGTGTAGGATTAATTTAAGATAGAGGACAACTTCTTTTCTGCAAATCTCCACACTTACCACCCAGCCAGAGGAAGTCATTGACTCCTCTGAGCAGCTCCACAGCCATGTGGTAGTGGACCAGGGCATCCTGCAGCATGTTCGCCTGGAGACACAAGTCCCCGACATGCTTCCTCATCCGCCCCTGGCAACGTTTTTTATAATGTCTGAGAAAGCAGCAGGAGAAAGCACGGCATGGTGAATTGGCGGCTCAACAATCATCGGCGATTAAATTTAATGCTTTCATTTTCTTTCTTTTTTTTTTTAAGAAGACATCTGCATTTATTCTGTCCTTTGTTTTTCTTTTTTTTTTATTAAGTCAGCAGGATGCCAGGAAAGGAGACTCGTATGAATCTTATCAGACAGCTACAAAGGGGAGATAAGGGATTGGAAAGCACAAGCGAAGGAGAGCAACAAAACAAGGACATCATATGAGCAACCCTACAGTTTGATCCTATAATCTTGTGCAATTACAAAGGGACTAAGGAGGGAAGCTTCAACAGGAAACAGGGAAAATAAAGCTGTAATGACAGAATTTTAAAATGTATTTTGCATAACATTTGTGCAGTCTGAAAGATTAGGAAAGACAACAGTGATGATCAGCATCATTTTGCAAGTTACGTAGAAACAGATATGAAAGTACTTCAGGAATATCCATATCATTCAAATGACAGGTGAAAATGGATGTTTCAGATAAGTACGCTACTTCTGAACAGCAAAAAAACTGTCCCCTTTTAGGGGATGCATGGAAATTAACCACATCAGTCCCTTTGGATCATTGAACATAGATGCCATTTTAAAACATGTGCTTGTATCTGTAGCTGCAATGCTAAGCAAAGCTGGAAGGTAATGCACGCTCTCATGAATAAGGATATGAGATCCATGTAGCCAGCATGAGGCGAAAGCTTTTTCAGCCCCCCAAATCCCAAACTGACACTGGTCCAAATGTTCTTATGAAGCTGCAGGGACAAGCCTCAATAGCATGGCTATGGCAAACTTTGTAAAATGGGTCCAAACCATCAGCTCCTTACATCTGTTTTAACTTGTTCACTTCGATTCACAGGTGTTTTTAACATATAGGCTGAGCATTTTCCAAGGCCTATTAGTAATGTTATTTAAAGTTGGAAGGTGCTTACTGGTTCCAATCTCCCCAAAGCATACCAAACTGAAGGAATGAAAAACTGCCCATAACATATTTTTGAAAAAGAGAAAGTTGTGTCATTATCATTTTGAGTCATTTGAGCTGAAGACATCAATATTTGATACATTTCTATTTTGTTCCAACATACTGTAAGGGCAATACAATTTCTCCTTTAACCTTTCCAACATGTTTTGGTAGTGTGATTTAATAATGCATTCAAACTGATCTGGAAAAGATTCAAGGAGATTGCTTCAGCCATCAGCCATCAGGACAAAATGATGTCCATTAAGAGTGATTGGTGATCGTTCTAACCGCTGACATGCTCAAATTGTTTCTTCAAGTGTCTGAAAACTTCACGGGAAATATCACTACAGATATACTTATCTATTACAGAGAGAGATGTTTTCTTTGAAGCAAAACGCAGCCATTACATCACTAACTTTAAAGTCACCACAGACTCCTTGAACAAAAACAGTCTTCTTACTTTCAGAACAGTGATGTCAAGTCATCTAGGCTCTTTAAGTAAGAGCATTGTAGCTCAGCAGAGGTTGATAAACTTCAAAATATGTTTCTGCTGAGAGCGAAAAGCACACAACTCACCCTGTAATTGTAAAGAATTAAGTTTCACATTCTAAACGGCCGGTAACATTTCAATTTTATTTTAACTCGAGCTGTGACGGCATTCTATTTAAAAACACCCTAGAAAAGTGGTTTGACATGTTCAGGCTTCTCATCAGTGCTCTGATATCAAATAAGGAATTCAAATATGAAACTAACTTCTTGTTGTGTTTTTGTGTTTGGACTTGGAGAGCCTGGTAAACCAGAGTCAAATACTGTACTTGGCCAAAAAGCTGATTTAGATTTTTCCTGATTTTTGATTAATGTATCTGGGTTGTGTGAAGCTCAACTTAAAACCAGATTAAATAATGGTCAACAAAATACAGCCAGATTGCTAGTTACGAACATGAATACATAGAAGATACAGAAACAAGTGGCCGCTTTGAGGAAAGAAATAACAATGAGGTCTATTCTGTGAATTATTCTAAATAGGCATGAGCAGATAAAAACACGTGTAAGTTTCTGTAAACCCCTTTAAATCAACCATATAAATTATTCAGGAATGTAAGTAGCTAAAACAGATGAAGTTGTCGCCTAGCCTCTGTAAACTAGGTCTGTACGATATGAGAAAAAAACTAGATGTGCAATAACAGTGTTCTGTACTGTATGGTGAAAATGATAGTGAATAAATATTAAAGATCGCATATAAGCTATGACTCACAGTTAAATTGTGTACCCCCTGTTTTTCCAATGCCTTTTTGTAACAGGTTTCTGCTGAATCCGCCCTCCCCACTTATTACTACAAACCACGTCTCATCTGCACTACTACTAAGTTGTGTTCTCTTTTTTTATTCGAAAAGCTACTTGGGTTATTTCTGCAACGTTTTTTCAATCCAGCTTTTTTTTTAAACCAATTCAAAACTGAAACCTGTAGAGGAGTGACGAGTTTGACTTGGAGTCATGAGCAAATGCAATATAGCACAGGGGTCTGTGGGGTGTCTTTGAGGTCAGAGCTACAGCTGATGGGATCGGTAAGGGTTCACTACACTTATCAACTAACATCTCACCTTTTCACACCCAACAATAAACTCACAGGACAGTATGAAAGAAAAAAAAAGAAGAAAGACAAATAAACAAGGAGACAAACAGAAATGAAAGCAGCAAAAATCAAAAGACAGATTTGTTGGGGGGGGGGGGAGAAATTTGAGCAGGTGAGGCTGAGATGTAATAAGCATCTTCACACAGAAACAAACACACTTGCACATTCACATTCATAAACTGCATTAAACATTCAAGTGCCTTTAACTAGAATCTAAAGTAAATAGTTTTAAAGTGTGCAGCAAACAGAACAACTCACCTACTATCTGTGTCCAAACCCCACAAAATCTTTCTTCTCAAAGGGCACGCAGAGCAGAGGGATCTTGTCACCTGACTTGTCTGTTGCTCTGTCTAGCCGCTTGGACTCCAGGACAATAAATATGGACTCCACAAAGTCCTCCACTCTCTTCTCAACATCAGTGCAGTCTTCAAAGTTGGGATAGAATGCCACATCAGTGCGCTGCTGCTCTGAAATCTCTCCATTCAGCCCAAACACCAGCAACCGGGAATCGTACAGCGTGGAGCTGTACACCTCCTTCTGGCCATGAAAGCGCTCTGAGGTTTGGGGCCATTCCTTGGCCGAGCCGCAAGTGGTGATGGAGATGAGGCCCACCACCTTGCGGTGCGTCTGGAAGTCCCCCCACTCGTTGTTTTCAGGCAGGTAGTGGTGGCGGTAGCGGATGTACAAGAGGCGCTGCGAGTCTCTGATGCTCACCTGGCTCACGCTGGAAATGCGTTTGTAAATCTTGAAGAACTGGTCCTCGGGCACAATGCCGACAGGCTGGACAACCACCAGTACTGTCTGGTGGTCCTCAGCACATTGCATGTAATCTGGGACGCTCATCTTCACATGTGGCTTCATGAAACAGAGAAACAAAAACATTAATTAGACATCATCCTAATCCCACTTTTTACTTGATCAAAGCTGCATTATGCTGTTATGGCAAATAAACACACTTTACTGTACTGTCTACATTTCATCTATAAATGTAGTGGTTCCATTGATGGCTGTGTAAGTGTAAGAAAAACAAATGGCACAAATGTAGGTGGTATTTCTTTTTTCTACATTTAGGGCCCAGATCCTTTTGCAATTCAACAATGAAGAATCCAGAGATACTGCTACAGATTTCAAAAAGGTATTGTCACACTTAAAAGAACCATTTTTGAGCACATGTTGAGGCTCTATTGGCAAACAAACAATGACCAGGAGTGGTGAACTAAACTAAATTAAAGTAATGATTGAACATCATTTTCGAAGAGCTTGGCAGAAGTTCAACTGCATTATGATTAAATTAAGATTAATTACTTTTCTTACTCTTCAAAAGTAGATAAACAATTAAACTACAAACAATTTGTGTATGGAACATTATTATTATTTTATCAAACTCCACCAGTTCATTAACTTCCCCACCAGGGGTAACAACACATTGGATCACTGCTACAGTAACGTCAAAAATGCTTATGCTGCTGTCCCCAAACCTCACTTCGGAAAGTCTGACCACCTCGCAGTCTTGCCACGGCCTACTTACACCACAAAGCTGAAAGCAAACCCAGTCACAGTCAGAACTGTGAAGATGTGGACTGACAGTGTACTGGCAGAACTGCAGGGCTGCTTAGAGGCCACAGACATAAATATTTTTAAGGAAGCCACAACGAACATTGATGAGTACACGGACACCGCAAGCAGCTAAATAGATTGGTGCACCTCTGTTTGTATTCCCTCCCGGACCATTCGTGTGTTTCCTAATCAAAAGCCCTGGTTCAATGCAGACATACGCACGAAGATCAGGAGCTGGTGTGCAGTCAGGGGACACCGTGGAGTACAAGCAGGCTCGGTACGAGCTACAAAAGTCCATCAGAGCTGCCAAAAGAACATACTCCCAAAAACTTGGGACAACAACACGAGGAGTATGTGGCAGGGAATACAGTCCATCTCCAACTACAGAAGTAACACAAACAGAGGTGAAGTTTGTGACTCCACCCTACCAGACACACTGAACAGTTTCTATGGCAGATTCGACAGACAGAACAGTGACACCCTTACAAAGTCCCCCCCATCACCCAGAGGAGACCGCACTACAAGTAACACAGACGCAGGTCCTTCGGGCTCTGAAGAAGGTGAACCCCCACAAGGCTGCAGGCCCTGATGGGGTGGCACCAAGAGTCCTAAAAGCCTGTGCTGAACAACTGGCAGAGGTGTACACAGACATCTTCAACGCCTCTCTCATGCAGGAAACCGTCCCACGCCACCTTTGAATCATCTGTCATAGTTCCAGTCCCTAAGAAACCACATACAACCACAATGAATGACTTCAGGCCAGTGGCACTCAAGCCGGTGGCCATGAAGTGTCTGGAGAAGCTGGTCCTACACTCCATCAACTCTGTGGTTCCAGACACTGTAGACCCCCTACAGTTTGCTTGCCGCACCAACAGATCGGTGGACGACGCGGTGGCCCTGGCACTCCACTCCACACTGGAACATCTGGACACTAACAACACATACGCACGCCTCCTCTTTTTGGATTACAGCTCCGCCTTTAACACCATTCGGCCAATGAAGTTGACTGGGAAGCTGGCAGTACCTTGGAGTACCGACACCCACCTGCAACTGGATCCTGGACTTCCTTATAGACAGACCACAGGTGGTGAGGATCAAAGGTCTCTGCTGAGCTCACAGGCAGCACAGGAACCCCCCCCAGGGCTGCTGCCTCAGCCCAAAACTTTTCTCATTGTACACATATGACTGCGTCTCCCCCCAGGACAATAACAGCATTAAATATGCAGACGACACAACCATCCTTGGCCTCATCAGAGGGAGGGATGAGTCTTCATACAGGCAGCTGGTCCACAAAGTCACTGTCTATGGAGAGGACAACGACTTAGTTTTGAACATAGTTCTGACTTAAACGTCAGCCCCTCACCCAGGCCTACAGACGACTCGGTGAAAGCATCCTCACCGGTGGAGTCACGGTGTGGTTCGGAAACACCGCACTGTCTGAGAGGAAATCGCTTCAACGGGTCATAAAGACTGCAGAGAGAATCACTGGCTCCAACCTCCCCTCCATGGACACACTGTACACACAGCGCTGCAGGGGAAAAGCACAGAGCATCCTCAAGGACAAGCAGCACCCAGCGCACGCTCTGTTCGGGTGGAAGAACTCGGGCTATAACCTGCGACATCACAGGCCAGAGAGCATCTCCACCCACAAGGGCCGCTACCACAACAGCTTTTTTCCCTGCTGTCTGCGAGACTTGTAGCACGGGACATTAAGATGGGAAGGAAGTACCTCACCCCCTGACCACCTCACAGACTAAATGGACAGCTGACCACCTCACAGTGCAATACAAGTGTGCAATAATAACCTTGAAAACAAAAAACAGTGCAATTATATAAAAATGAAAAATATGTGTGCAATAACCTCAGGTGCAATAAGAGATAATAAGTGCGATAAGAAAACATATTTATATTTTCATTTCATTGTACAGCGTTCCCCTTTGTTATTTTTCTTTGTATTATATCTTTGCTTTAATACAGTGTGTAACTTCTGTACAGTTTATTTTAAATCACTTAGCTGTTACTACAACTTATTTTCTTACATTGTTATTTTATTTTATACATAATTTTAACTTGCAGAAGCTGACCCAGGGAGAAACGCACAAGAATTCCAATGTACCTGTACTGTCCTGTACCTGTATCTGTGCAAATGGCAATAAACATCTATTCTATTTCAACTTTTTTTTTTTAAGGTAGCTGAAGTTAACCAGATTATCTCCCCAGGATAGCTACAGTAGTTTAACACCTTGTGTCAAGCAATGTGTAGCTCGTCCAGCTGGGTCATTGAAGATACTTACATACACATAAATACTTATGTCTATTGCCTACCTAGGTTATGATTCATTAAATTGCCAATGGATGAACACTTGCAAACACAAGTTGTTGTGTAGTCCAACAAAGCTTTTGTTGTCTGAATGAATTAATGGATACTTCTTTAAACATCTGGTGAGTGCAGGATGGAAAATCTGTCACTGCTCATTAACTGGAAGAAGAAAAAAATAAGAGAAACAACATTTCAAACTAAATGAAACCAATATGCAAAACAACACCTGCTATTGTGTTTACTAACATAAACACTCACTGTGGCTCCTGTTATTGTTCTTCGTTGGTAAAGTATGACTATTTCAATTAGGAGATAAATAAGAGACCTTTAATTTCGTCAATTTTAAGGCCTATAAAGAGAAATAGTGTACGTTAAGTTAAACTGTCACATCAAGACACTTCCCTAAGCTAGCTGAGGTAGCACACCTATGAACTGGCTGCTCTGGACACTCACACAGAAACAACGCTACCTTAAATAAAAGAGTCATGAATGACTATTTAAGCGCAGTAATCATTAGTTGTCCGTCATAACTGTGGTTTTAAATTAAAATGGTTAATAGCTTACGTTTTCTTTCTGCAGTATCCTTTTACTACAGCTTCCTTCTTTGGACCACTGTTTTGCAAGGCTTATAAATAACTTCCGGTCTTACATTTTCAAAATAAAACCAATAACTTACTATACTTGTGGTATTGTATTTTGAGAAATATTCTGAGATAAATGAGACAAATTTAACTGTTGTGGTAAGTTGCGCTGAATAATGTTACAAAATACAACAGTTTCCCAGAGCCTACTCAACTCTTTTTGACCCAAATGTCAATATGATAACCGATCATAAACAAACGATTAGAAATATTGAGTGATTTTAGATCTCGTCAGTTATTTCAAAGCACATACGCACACACGCAAGAGAATCACACAGCAGGCAAAAAAATCATCTTACGACTTTGACAAGAGACAAATAAGTAGAATGGAAAACCAACTTGTTTAATGGTAAGGGCGCAAGTATTTTTATTTTGAAATCAGATGTTTTTTTCTTTATACGTCACGTCCTACTTCTTCTTCATATGTATGGGCTCTGGTTAAAACGCTACATCAGCTTCGCCTACGGACAAATAAAGTACTGCAAGTAGGAAACCCCTAAATATGATCGTTATAGCACTCTACATTAAAAGTATGATTTACAAGTTACTAATGTGTTATGCCTAAAATAACACGTAAAATTAAAATAGTATATAAACTATCAAATTCTGATTCTGTTATTTCTATTATATATTATTTTTATATTTTTTAAGTTTAAATCTATATATCCTACTGCTTTACTGTGTTTAAGAGCAACTGTAACAACCAAATTTTCCCCTGGGATTTATTAAGTATGTCTGATTCTGAATATATGACATTTCTTCAGCTATTTATGTAAAATGTTGCTATACATTTAAGGGAGACAAATAAAATGTGTAGTATTTCATTATATACCGAACATATTGATAGTAAAATCTTTCTAATATAGTTAATGGAAAAAAAATGATCTTCAGGAGAATTTTTCTCAATGCCAAGACAGTGCAGAGTGTAAAAAAAATCATAAAGTACATGTGACTGTATGGCAAGAATATTCCACTTAAATGTAAAATTCCCTTTTGTGTTAGCAAATATGGTCACAACATCCTGTAAGAATCCTCGTTGAAATAAGGACTATCAAAAGAAAATTACACATCTTAATTGAAAAATGTAATGTCCCCTAAATGGATTAAAATGATATATTCTTCTTCTCCTTAATGAGCTAAATAATTTTAGGATATTGAGGTTCTTTTTTGGCAAACTTATTTTTCTAGTCAAAAATCCCAACAGATGTATAAAATAAATCCAAGACAGGTCGATTCAACTCCATTTTTATTTTTTTCACCCATAAATCACTTTTCACAATCTTCTTGGAAGACAACAGCTTTTTTTTTTTATTCCCTATTTCTTCTTTTTTGGCCAAGGGGAATTGGTCCAAAAGCAAAGCAGGCGCTCAGAGAGAGACATTGAATTTGTAAAACATGGTTGATAGTGAATATACATCAATAACAGGCAAACATCTACAACCATCGACTTACAAACAGTGCACAATTGTGTGTCAGAGATGTCATCCCAAACCGTAACAACACAAGTTTGAAAGCAGGGGAGGGGTGACGGATGTTATCAGTAAGAGTGGAATACCATGTTATTCTTGATTATTTAAAAAAAAAAAGATATATTACCAAGAACATGAATAGTATATTCAACTGATATCTACCAACTGAATGAATGCATATCATATCATTAAAGCACAAATAAATGAAGCCTTAATTTTTCCCGTTTGGTCAGTGGTTCCTAAGACTGATTTAGGTCAATTCTAACACACCAGCTTTGACCTTTATGTCTGTGTTAAGAGTGAGGCAGAGTTTTACTGCATCTTCACATCCATGACAAGCACAGAAACTGTGACACAAAATGAACAAAGGAAGGAAAAGCTACACGGTTGAAAGCTATAAGATTCACGTCTTTTCCATATGTGTGTGTCGTTTTGGTGTTGTTTTGTCCTGTCACTGGTGCAAAGTACGAAGCTTTCAAGTTATGCAGATTATTAGGAATGTAGAGTTAAGCAGGAAAGTGCTGATAGTCCAGTGAATATCTGCCTGCAAATTCACCTAACAGATATAGATTGGCAACAAATGTGACATTAAAAAAAATCTGTTCCTCCTCCTCCACCGGATGCTAAGGTTAAGCAGCTGACTACATAAGCTTTCTACTGTTCATTTCTTTTGAAGGCGTATCCTAACATCATTAATACCTTTGGTCCATTGGTGACCATCATAACATAAATATAACTGAAGTGTTTGGTTACAAGATTAAACAGATTTTAAACACTAACAGGGCGAATTTAATCCCAAAAGTTGACTAAATGGTTTAGCTCTTACTTTTTTAAGGATTGTTAGACACAACCTTGTTGATAATGTGCCTTTGTATTTGCTAGAGATTTTACTGACTTATATACTGTCTTCATATTTGTTCAGTTTTTCCCCTATATAGCTTGAAGTAGTACCGTGTAAACATTTTGACCACGAGTAGCTCTATAGAGCAACGCTTTCACAAGTAGGTCCCTGTTTTGTTTGGATCATGTAAAAAGGATTCACACTCGTGCCAGCAGTTAAGAAGAGGAACAATAAAGACGGAGAGGAAGAAGACTGCAACTTATCAAACATGGATGTAAACTACGCACAACTGTCTTTGGAAGAGTAAGGAAGGGTACGCACTAAAGCGGTTTGGTGAGATCAAGTTTGGTGTTTTGCTGAGAAGCACCGCGTGTAAGCACAACTTTTGTCAGAGTGGTTTCCCACTTTAAATCCAATCCCCTTCCTGTAAAGGTGACCAATGGACCAAAATCACAAAAAGTTTCCAGGCCAAAAAAAAAACAAGTCTTTTTGGCTGCTTTAATTCTTAACTAATTAAGTTTTAAGACCATTGCAGTCCTTGCTACTTTTGTGTACATTTGCATCCATGTAAGGTAAAAAAAAAATAGTGTGCAGTCTTATTCAACATGGGAACTTGAAGGTTGCAGAAAAAGACGCCAAAGTAGTTAAGACTCAGTGATGATGAGGATGATGATGATGATGAGTTTGGTCTGCAGAGGATCAGGAAGATTCTGGGTTGAAACTTGTCATCCCATGGATTAGTTTAATCTCCAGTGATCATGTGGCTGCAGCCAAGATTAGTCGACCTAATTACTGCACAATTTAGACACCCCATGAAGTCCTAGTGGACTAGTCCGTCGAACAGGGAAAGAAATGAAAAAGGGAAAAAACACGTGTAAAAATTGAACAAGTTAAGACTGATGAATTAGAGCCTAATGGTGTGATAATGGGAATGTGTGTCTTCTGATTGGTTTGATACGAGATATTTGGCATTCTTCATTATGGCATTGAAAGTGTGAGGACATTGCCAGTGGTGCAGAGAGAGAAGAGACTGAGTAAAGGGCCTTCTTGGGGGGCCCTATGTTGGTGGGTTGGTGGTTGGGGGGTTGTGGTTAAGATGGAGAATGATGTTCTGCCCTTCTCATGCTATTTTCAGAAATTGATCCACTGTATCCGCCTCCACCGCCTCCGACAACATTTCGTAGTTCTATAGAGAGGAAAAAAGACTGTTAATGAGGCAACAGGAAAATAAAGATAATTTTACTGTCTGAGAATTGGCACAAAATAAAATTAAAATAAAGAAAATTAGCTTTTACTTTTGAGTCTGAGGGAGACACAGTGCTTCAAAACGTTAGTATTTTGTACCTAAATTAAATTTGCCTAAAGTGATTTGTGTGCTCTAGTTTTCTGAAAATGTGCGCTCAAACAGGCCGTTTGGAGATGTTCCCTTTATGACATCACAAAGGGCAGTAACCCCTCCCCCAGGTGTGTGACACTCCAACAGCTAGTTGTTTGTTCTGCCCTCTGAGTCTGCCTTCTCACCGTAAACAATAGGGCATGGTGCAAAAAAGCCTGAGCCACACCCCTTCCAGAGAGGGGGCGTGGTCAGACACAGCTCATTTACATTTAAAGCTACAGACACAGAAACAGCCTGTTCTGATCAGGGCTGAAATAGAGGGGTTTATAGGCATGATCAAATACAGGATCAGAGTGGATTTAGAACAAGAAACTTCACACATATGTTTTGGGGAGCTCTGAGAATTATTTAAACTAGTTGAAAAGGAGGATTACCATATATGTGACCTTTAAAAGACTGAGTTTAAGACAGCTAGTCTGATGCTTGACCACTCTCTTTTCTTTCCTTCAATTCTCCCTCATGTCCTCTTTTGTCTGAGAAAAAGCTTAGGGCAGGTAAGAGGTGTTTTCTACCAGAGAGCCCAGAATAGTGCATTTCTAGGGAGAGAATGTACCTCTTCAACTAGGTTTATTGGTGTGGTTGGGGGGGAGAATGTTACGTCGCAAAGTAGGAACGAAAGAGTCTAAAGTCTTCCAAATACAATTCAAGGTTTAAATGGTTCTTAAAGAAATGCTGACTCTGCAACATAAATATCCAGTCTTAAGACATTGTTCCGTCTTCTGTGTTGAGGAGGACAGGAGTTTATTTTGGTAGTTCTTCTTTCCTCCTGACAACATAAGTGACTTGTATCTGTTTGTTTTAAGTAGAGGAGCACAAAGCTGGTGTTCAATCCAGATGTGCTTACTATGAGATTTGCTACTTAACAGTTCTTGGGTTGAAGGGTTAGGGTTAGCCTACCACATGTTGACTGGGTTAGTCCTGGGATTATCAACGCACACATACACATACAATGCACATTGCACTTTGACAAGTACACTTCACATTTTTGTCAAATAAATGTGGTTATATTTATTTATTTACACAAAGAGACTGTCATGCTATTATGGCTAACTCATACCAAAATAATCGACTTTAATTCTGAACAGCTTTAAGACGTCAATGCAAGGGATTTCTTTTTTTTGTGCGTTCTTCTCTCACCCCACAGTACTGGTCTTCATTGAAAAGCTGGGGTGGGACTGCCGAGGGGTCTCCTGCTTTGTTTCTCATCTCGTCACGAAGCTCCCCACCCACGGAGATGTCGATTAGCTCGTACTGGATGCTTTTACTGTCAAGGATTCGAATCACCTCAGCCTGTTGAGACTTCACCTGGAAAATATAACAGACGTCTGTCAGAAATATAACAAACCTCAGATAAACCATTAGATAACCAAAGCTGTGCATTTTTGCCATCATAAATCAAGTCATGAAATCTCCTCATGGGAAGGGATATTTAGACATTTTTAAAAAAGCCCACTGTTGGGGAAGTAAAATATGCCATTTTAGTACTCTGCCTTTAAAAGCAGAAGCCGTATCTAACTCCTGGATGATGATTAATAGACCTGTGTAACCCTCTACTATCTTTGTCAGTAAGTCAGGAAGTTGGGAGGGGGTGCCTGCAGTAGTGTGACCACACCTAAGCATGGCGTCTAGTGGAGATACACAAGCTGCCGTTCAGTCACCACCAACTGTTGTTTTAAAACCACTTTCATGGCCTTGAAATGAAAAGGAGAACTTCTCTACTTGTGTGATGAAATTTAAAAAGCCGACTCAGCAGTTAAAAGCTTCTCTTTTAGTCATGTGAAGAACGAGGTCATGGCAGGAAAACCTGTAAGATTCCTTCAGAGAGCAAACAACGTTTTCAGTTTACTTGAACACAGAAGATTATTATTATTATATTACCATTATAAAATGAAAGGAGGAAAAATAACAAGCATACAGCAGCTGGTCCTGAAGCCTTCAGAAAGACAGGCTGTCACTTTTATTTAAAAGTAGGAGTTTGCCAAGCAGCATTAGAGGACTAAAACCGTATGAAGGGCACAGAACTTTTTCCTCTCGATGAATTCCTCATGCATAATAAGTGTCAAATGTTACATCCGATGCTAAGCCAAAAATAAATGTTCATCAAATTCTTCAAAAGTCTGCTTTACAACGTCAATTGACTGGTGTCTGCAGGCAGTCCTCATTTGAACTGTTCAACACCTATCCTATTGAGATACAGTATTTTAACAAATCGCCATAACAATGTTAAGCTGTTTTAAAAAGATGTGGATTATCAGCTCACACCCACATAAAAGACAGTAAACATCTGAGTTTCCCTGGATTAAAATGTTGTCTGATGAATTCGGCTCACATGTGAACTAACAGGCTGCTCTCACTAGTTTGACTTCAAAGATTTTATTAATGGTTTCCATACTCCTGCAGAACTGGTACAGATCGAGCTGCAGGATATCTCCACTAGAAATAGGACATTTCTTTCAGCAAGTGTTGTGCAGTGTATATGACGTATAAGGCAATAGTCAATGCATACTTCTTGTAGGAGGTCTTAACAGTAAATATTTGCCATAAGCAAAGCAACCCAAAAATGTCAGGGGTTTTTACATGACGTTTGGCGCACAGTTCTCTTTCAGGAAGCGGAAACATATGGTGGTCGCTACACTTGGTGATTGTGGCCAGGCTTTTACGCCACAAAAAACATTATGATATATTATATGTCGTATAAAAACGACATATAATGTGGTGGAAATGTCTGCACACAAAAAATAGATAGCCAACCATGCTATTTAAAAAAAAAAAAAAAAAAAAGCAACTTCCCTTTACTAAGATTAAGGAAGTACCGTTAAGGTGGAATCATCAAAACCAGGTCGTTTCAGTGAGATCTTTTATTACATTCAACTTTCGGCCGATAACTTTTCTTTTCTTTGAGGTAGGTACCCAGGCCCCCCATATTAATGCTGACAATATCGATTTAAAAGGAGGCTGAACAGCACAGGCCCGCTGCACCGTTAGTCAGGAGGACGCTGTTACTGATAGGGTGCTGCTGGGTGTGTCTGCAGGACTGTGCAGGGTGCTGCCAGCGGCGCTGAGAAACACCGACACACAGGTAAGTTCATTTAGTTACGGCCACTTCACTCACCGTCCGTGAGGCTGTAACGGTGGTGTAGTACAGTTTGATTCCCATTGCTGCTGGTCCCTCTGCTTCTTTTGTATATCCGCTCTCGAGTAGCTCTCTCTCTCGACTGGTCAAGCTCAGCAGAGTCGATAAGGAAAGGTGAGGAAACATGACCGCGTCCCTTTCAAAATAAAATAAAAACATGTCGAGGTAAGGAGGTGGCCCTTCTTACGGATTGGGTTGAAATTGTCAAAGTAGGAGGACAGAGATATAATGTTCTAATAGGACAAGATAAGATGAGATACTCCTTTATTCATCCCACAACGGAGAAATGTGCATTGTCACACAGCAGCAAAGAGCAAGGATTGCCAACAAAAGAAACACACAGTGGAAAATTAAAAACAATTACAAATGTAAAAAATGTAAAAAATAAATAAATAAAAATAATTTAAAATATATATATATAGGTAAAAAATAGACATCAACTGTGAGCTACAGTTTTAACTAAATGTGATGATAATGATAAGTAAACGTACCGGTCCAATAAGCCAATCACACGAAATTGTTTTGCAGTTATTTTGATAATCGAGTAGGCCTAAATGCAAAAGTATTTTTATGTCTATTTAGACTACAGCTGTGAGGATGTCCAAACTTTTCTTGGCTAATAATAATGGTTATGCCATAGCCTAAAAATCGGCCTAATAACAATAATAATAATAATAATAATAATAATAATAATAATAATAATAAAGTTGCATGTCGCAAGCTCAAGAGGTAACATTTAAACTCCATCGTATTTAAACGTCATCCTATAAAATCCTTCACTTGTGAAGATCTTACTTGGTTATGAGAGTTTGAATTCGTATTTAATGTTGGAAACAACAGGAAATGAGTTATGCCTATGTGTTCTGGTAAAGTGACTCTATTCCGCCTCCACACTGAGGACCTCTACTGGCTGATCAGTTTAAAGAGACAATGCAAATTTTCATTCACGTTTTTGTTTAAAAAATAATTTTAACATTAAACTTCCCCTTTCATAAATGGTAATATTTTAAATTCGTAGTAATTCACTGCTATTTTCTCAACCTAGATCACATAGGCTACATGTAATACCTCTTGACATTCACCCAGTCCTCCTTCCCATCTGTTTAAACCAATACTTTCTTTTCTTTTCCTACTTCATTTCCACCAAAGTTTTTCATATGTTACTGTATCTAGCTTTCCTTAATTTTTTTCTTTACATCTTGCACAGATTCTGAAAGCTATAAACTACACCAGGAAAAACTTTATTTGTAAAAAGTGTTTTTGATTTAGGACTGCTAAAAACTTTTAAAATCATTGAAATTGCCAACAATGTATTACAATTATTTTGAATTAACTTCAAAAATGTGTACGTCTCAATTTAAATTATGAACAGATTATTTTTGCTTCGTAACAACAACACCTGTTGCTTTAATTTGTTCCCAAGGAGTAGGAAACTGAATGTTCGCACAAAGGCAATGTTGCATAATTAACCACAAACATTTTTAATCCAACATCCCCTACGGTCACTGTGAACTTGTGAACTCAATCACCACTAGCTGCAAAGAGAAGTTAACAGGGTAAAATCAGAATAGCGATAAAACACTACATGCTTTAGGGCTTAACTTGTTGATGAGTGGCTACCACAGGAACATGAATTAGAATAGAGGCAAGACAACACATATCTGCATCGCTGTCTCAAAATAAAGGATGGTGAAAAAGTGCCAAACTTTCAGTTTCAAAATTATGTTCCGCAGACAGCTGGATGACATAATGGTGGCTAAATCCACGTTTTACAGGAAGCACATGGTATCTGGAATCCTTAAGCAGAAAGGATGAAACTGGAGTGGTCTTACTCACAAGTCATGCGAAATATACCACATTTGAAATAGATTTTAAATTGTGCAGCTGCTTAAATGTTCATTTATTTTCAGAAACACCGTGATTAACCGCAGCTGTCCTGGTGTTCTGTTGCCTTGCTGTGTGTCGATCAGACATTTCTGCATTGTACTAGAGCTTATTCTGACCAAAAGTATGATTACACCTTACAGGACTTGTCTAACCATGGACAACTACCCTGATTGTCCATGGTCCTGATTCTGATTCAATTTGTTTGGCAGGTATTTGGTCCTAAACCAAGGATTGATCTCGTAGAAACATTCACTTGACACGTGTTAACTAAAAATTAACTAAAGAGATCACAATAGATGCTGTGGGAAGTAAATGTTTCCAATTTATGAGGCAATTTATGAGTAGCACAGAGATAAGCCCAGGTCACAGTGCGTGGTGTGCCGTTAATAATAAATAATAAGCATATCAGGAAAACTGTGTAAACTGTATATTAAATAGCCCTATATAGTATGCAACTGTATTTCAGTGTTGGCCATATTGGTGGTACTTAAAGAGCCGAATATTTTATGTGGTGGTACTCATTGTGAAAAGTTTGAGAGCCACTGACCTAGATTTTTCCAAGTTGGAAGTATCTTTGACAATTTGATTTACATGGACAGATCAGCTGTGTAGTGTTGCCTGCTATAACACTCTGGGTTTGTGGAGCCCCGTTAAGTTTAATGAGCAGTAAAGAAATTTAATTAGGAACTTATCACAAGGGAAACAGGCATGGCCCCTTCTATTGTGAGTCAGACAGGAAGAATGTGGGAGAGAGTCCAACAGTGCCACAATTCAGCTGATTCAGGGTTTTAGGCGAGCAAGTGAGCCGTGCAGTATGGACCAGTACAAACCAACACAGAGTAAGACCGGAGCCAGACCGCAGAGCCAGCCAGCAGGGTCGATATATCTGACACCTGCAACAATATCATCTCCGAGGTTTGCACCGGAGGGAGCAGAAAACAATCCCTGCTCATGACGCAAGAAAATATATAAGGCTTTTCTGTCTCGAGTAAATGCACCTTTATCGACACCAGGGGTCAGAAGACAATTATTATTCAGCAGCAGGATGCCAAACTCCAATAAAGCAAAAGAAGGCACAAGGAAATGAAAGGTTTTGTGAGTTATAAGGTCAAGTTGATATGATTTACAATAGAACAGCTCTAAATATATCAAACTTTATGTCATTTTTGCAATCAGTTATACAGAAGGCAAATCATTTTTTTATAAAATCTCTAATTAACTCAACACATTTGTCCAACAAATATCACAGATAAAACACAACACAGTCCCCCGAGCCTGTTGGGATGTTTCCTTTAGAGGTAAGAAGAAACAAAGCTTATATAATATCCTTAAATGGTAAATGGACTTGAGCACGTATAGCGTTCTTCTAGTCATCTTGACTACTCGAAGCACTTTTTACACCACAGGCCACGTTCACACACTGACGGCAGAGGCAGCTGTGGAACGAGTCCATCAGTATTTACTTCTCCATGCATACACATTCACACATGACTGACCAAGCAGCAGGAGCAATTTGGGGTTCAGCGTGTTGCCCATGCACACATCAAAATGTGACTACAGGAGCAGGGGAGCTAACCCCTGACCTTCCAGTTGACAGACAACTGACTCTACCACTAAGCCAAATGTGAACATTAGGATGAGAGCTAAATTTCCTGCCTCATGGTTGTATGCCTACAACCAGGGGCGTCGCCATGATTTGTGGTCCCCAAGAGAATATATAACATTGGGCCTCTCCACTAACGCCTCAGCCCATCCTGCGATTATCGCTGTAACCATACCTCCATTACACATGTGACCCCCTTCATATTAAGCTGTCTATAATTCCTTTTCCAATACTTTTTGATACCACACATTTTAAAAGGAAACAATCTCTTTTGAGTTAAACTGTCCAAACCACTAAATTGATTGTGCCAAAACATTGCCAAAATACGTAGACAAGTGTACAATCTTAAAATTTGAGGAGTGATGAGATGGTATCTTAAACCATTATTTGGAGCCGACAGGTGGATGCTGGGCCAGCTCTGCCCTGCACCAGGACAGAGCAGCAGGAGAGACCAGAGATATTACAGCTTAATAGACCCCTAATTTTGGAGGATGCATTTGTCACATGATTGTGAAGAATGATGCATGTCAGTGTGAAATCAGTGCTGCTCCAGTTGCCTGCCTGAACTGGCTTGCAAGCTTCACTCCATATGTTCATACTTGAAGCCTTTTGAGACTACATTGAAGTTCCTCATACCACTGCTGTTGGTCTCACAGACGGCTTTAAATATAAGTAAAATACCTATAATATAGTGCATCCTCTTTAAAATAAGGTCGTCTATATTTTTTCCTTCAATACTTTTTGATACCACACATTTTAAAAGGAACCCATCTCTTTTGTTGTAAACTGTCTAACCCTCTAAATTGCACAAAAAACATCGGCAACGTTTTGGTACCGAAACATTGCCGAAGTATTTGTATAATTTAGACAGTTTGCAACAGTTTGCCTGTGATTTCTGGTCAATAAAAGTGCAGTAATATTTTATGTGGATTTAATCATTTGATTCATTTGTGCAGTTATTGGTCCGATTGGAGGGAAGGAGAAAGGAAGTTTAAATATGTTGCGGCTTAGACGATGACACTTCAGATTATGTTTCTAGTAGTTCATTTTGTGTGTGTGTGTTTAGCATAACTACCAGTGTAAAAACTGTGTAAACAGACAGCTGATCTGCTCCATGTTTTCATTGGGTTCAAGCCAACGTGTCTTGATATATTTGCTGTCTTTCAAATAATGTGAGTCTGATATAAACTAATCTGTGTTTACTTGGTGGCAGCAGGTATTCTGTACTTTGTTCATTTGAGCTCGATCCCTACGGCCTTACAAAAAGATAATCTGGATTCTGATAGAGGACCAGGGTAAAGGTCTAAAAGTCTTAGTTTAGAGTGTTTAATCATACACTTTCTTTAGTGGGTTTTCACATTTGAACGATTACTTACCATCAGACAAGAAACAAGATATATTATGATCTCATATTTTATGTTTTATTTAACACATTAAAAAAATAACAAATTATACACTAAATACACTTTTTAATACGGGTACATTTAGAGCTCCAAACGAGTCAGGGAGGATTTGTTCATGAAGTTCTTTGGTATTATGTCTCAATACTTTCGTTTTGATTTTATCTTTGAACTATAAATATTCTGAGCTGTAGAGCCCTGAGAGGCAAGTAATAAAAAGGAAACGGAAAGTAACCCATTTTCTAAGTTGGACTTTTATACGGGCTCACCTACTTTTCTGTGTAAACGATTTAAACAACTCTTTGGCAGGTGTAATGTGTTTTTTCTCCTGGCCAATAATCGTTGGTATAAAGTCTTTTTGCACTAATCTGGATGTAGCTTATACAAGGACAGTTTACAGGATATTGTGCATTTTCAAGTTATGTAAACACAATTGTCACGTCTTTGTTTTTCAGATAGATAAATAATAATCTAGAGCTATTCAAAAATAACAAAAAACAAAAATCTGAAGAATGGAACAACTTCATTTTCCTAAAAAAAACCACAAAATTAAATACTTAAATAAAAGACTGATTAACAAGTTTCAGGTGTATAAAAAAAGAAAGTCAGGAAGATCATTCTGGAAAAAAAGGTCATAAACACGGAAGAGGACAACACTTATTAAAGTGATCCCCAGATTGTCTTTCCTCGTTTTACCCCTCAGGGCTTCCATACTGGGCTGCACAATGAAGTATTGTTTTTTATGAATATGAATAAAAATTAAACAGTATTATTTTATTGATATGATTTACGGTGTGATCAGAGCGTGAGCAGTAAACCCTCAGACCAAAGTCTCTACCACTGTAGCTTGAAAATAAGCAGAGCTAGTTAGCCTGGCTCTTCCACCAGCTGCTGTTAAGACTGTTTAGGAAAGACTGGAGCTGTGATTGTGACCATATAACTTTGGATTTCAGAGCTGTGGCTGTTGCCGTCACTGTTATCTGGATTCTGTTTTTAAAACCTTTCTTCATATAGGTTGAATGTGATCGTGTTTGCCGATTATTTTTTTTAAAAAAAGCTGCTGTACCTTACACATCCCTTTTGAAAGGACTCTATGTTTCCCCCCATCTCCTCCTGCTGCTCTATCAGAGCATGATCCAGCCCATCTTATTGTACTGTTCCACCTGCTTCTTCAACATGTTATCTGTAAAAAACAAGGCCAAACTCACACGCGTCACAACCACAGCTGCCAGAATAATCTGTCTCCCCACACCCAACCTAACAGAACTCAATAACAGGGCCATCACACGCATTGCAACCTCAATAGAACAGGACATGACACACCCACTGAACACTCACCTCGCCCCACTTCCCTCAGGACAGAGGTATAGAGCACTGAGGTGCAGAAAGGCTCGCCTCGGGAGGAGCCTGATCCCCGCTGTAATAACGGTCCTGAACAAAAGGCCTCGCTGAACAGGCCAGAAATGGGAAATCTTAACCGTTGTCTAACTCTGTTTGTTGTGTTATTCTCTGGGTATAAATGTTCTTTGGTGGGACCTGTCTTTTGGACAGTAACAGTGCTGTGAAAAAGAATTTCCCCTCGGGGACAATAAAGTCTAAAGTCTAAAGTCTACTGTACACCTGTGGTATAGAAAGCACATCTGTCTCAGGGTTTAAGGCCTGTGTGGCTCATTTATCTGCTAATCTTATTTAGAGCTGTTGAGCAGTCAAAGTGATCATAGCTGTATCTATGGCATCATACATTTCCGTTCTAAAGAAATCAGCAATTCCCGACATATCTTATCTGCTCTGCAGAGCGTGTGTCTTAACTAGAAGTGCACTGGACAAGTGAAAAACATTGTGAGGCAATAAAACAAGTTTCTGGAAGCATAATAAAGTAGTCAGCTAACACTGTTTTCCTCTTTAAATCAGGGCTAAATAAATACTTTTCTTCAGATGCTTTTCAATAAATCTGAGTTATAACTTCTTTGTAATCTGTAACGCTATGTAGCTTAATTTAGCCTCTACTTTTATTGATTTTTTTTAATCAAATTTTTTTTTTTTTATGGTTTATTAAGTTACATTTCAAATATGTTTCATGTTTTGAAGTGTATTTCTTCACTACTGTAATGCACTGTGAATATGCTGTGTCCTACAGGTAAGATAAAAAAGCTTGTTTTGCCTGGCTTTAGTTACCCCTATCATTGTTGCAATGTAGACAAAATAGTTTGCAGTTCAGCATTACATACTGCATAAACAGCTACATGCAATGTGAGCGCATAACTTAGAAATGGTAAAAGAAACGATTCACCTGTTGCATAATAAGCCTGTTTGTTAGTCTCAGCATCCCATAGTCAAACTTTACTTTGTTGTTGCAGTTTTGGCTCCTGACTTGTTTTTTTTTTTTACTGCTGCAGACACATTCAACAACCACATTCAGCGCGACTTAGGCCCCAAGTGAAAAACACAGCCACTCTGTCTGATGACGCGATGGTGGTGCTGGAGCAGAACAAAGCAGGGGGCTCTGGCAAAAAAAAAAAAAGGAGTGTGTTCTGACGAGTTGGCCCTGCTCAGCTTATAGCAGAATGCAACACAGTGTCATCTGGTTAAGGCCCTGCCTTGGCTAATAAGCAAACAGAAAATCTGTTTCCAGGTGATGTGCTTCCTCTGACAAGTTACCAGCAAAAACTTTGGAAGTGTGTTCATTGAGCAAGAAGATGCATTTTATTTCAGTGGATTAAGGCTAGACCTCCAACCATGAAGGTCTGCGTTAGAGGGGAATAAATAAAAAGGGGCTTTGAAAACTTGTTAGCAGGCCCCTTTCCTCGACCACCTCTCAAACTGCACAGCAGACCTAGCACACATGGGGTGCCGCAATCCTCCAAAGGCCAATGCATGTCCCAGTATAAAGATGTACATCCATAACCTTTGCACCCTGATGAAGGCTCTGATGAGCTGAGACGCGTCGGCCTGCCACACATTTTTAAATTTGCCTGAAGCCATGAATTAATAACGGCTTTTTAACTTTTATAACCAATCATTCCTTGGATATTTTTTTGTGTTAGCCTACTTTACTCTTCACGCAGCGCTACTAACAATTGATGTCTTTTAAAAAAAAACATATAATTTATTATTATAATATTATTTCAATATATTTTATCACTCCTTCATTTTCATTTACTCCACAAATGATAGGACCTTTCACTCCTGAAGTTTCTTATTATAATTTATTATTCTCCCATTACACAGAACACATTTTTGCTACATACAGTTCTACGTTTCGGCCTCAGAGTCCATGTTGTCTGTGTGACTCGGTACAAAAAAGGCTCAGAATCCCATCGTGCTAGCTGCTAGTCGGAGTCTACAAATGACTCAATCATATGCACAGCGTCACAGGGTCAAGTGTATCCATACAGTATGTAAATAACAGCTGAGGCCCTGCCAGGAGGAACGCTGTTTAACAGGTAACTATGGAGACCAATTAACCACTGTGAGACATGCATAGATAAACAGCCCTCAAATTAAGCATGCTGTCTGTTCTGAAAAGAGGATGTATTATTACTTCTCAACCTGTCTAACAAAAAAAAAAACACATTTAATCTGTGTTTAACATATTTTCTCTATCAGTTTTTGAAATGCCATGCTTCTTGTTGTTGTTTGTTTTGCAGAGTTGGCAATAAAAAAAAATGATTTCTGTATGCCGTGACTGTGAGCTAAAGACTCTTCCAAATAAGCAGTGAGTAGGCTATGTGATTCTTATTTTCTCTAGTCCTTGACTAAAACAGCTTCAAACACAAGGCCGTCCCGTCCATGTAAACACGGCTCTGACAACAACACAGCAGTTGGGACTCAAGCCTCTCACTCATTCAGTCAGTCATGACTCAGAGAGACATTTGCAGAGGATAGACTTGATTTCTGCTGTATTTATGTGTAAAATGTTGCACATTCTTCCTTTAAGGTAAAACATCATTGACAGGTAAAGGATTATCCCACGTAAGAGGCCATAAGGTGATACTAATTATTTGTCATTGAGAAGAAAAAATGACAAAAAATGTCAGTAAATGACAGAAAATCAGGCTGAGCATAGAGTTAGATATAACTGATGTTAACTGAATACTGTTTGTACCCTACACTCTCAAATCCTGTCAAGACGTTTTCAGGATTCAAAGAGAATCTCACGTCAGTCCTTCAAATCTGGGATATGAAGGAGGTAGTAAAAATGCCAAGGAATGTCCGAATGGTTCTTCTCTGTGATTGTGAATTGTTTGTTTGAGTGATTTTTTTAATTTTCTATTTCAATATTCATTTTTTCTCTCTGTCATGAAGCTTTTGATGTCTTGTGTGAAGCACTTTGAATTGCCTTGTCGTTGAAATGTGCTCTAGAAATAAACTTGCCTTGCCTTACACTATGTTCCACCGTCTAAGAGGTAGGCTACATGCGTATTATACTGTATTCTATAAGTTCTCACTCGTCCAAGATATGATAAATTAGAAGCTATCTGGAGGATGGGGCTAGAAATTTAAGCCCTTACATTTCTAGCTCCAGCCACCAGATAGATTAGACCTGAAGAAGAGTTTTGGAGGAGAGGTGAAACGTCTTCAAGATCTTCAACTAGTCCTGCTGCCTTTGGATCAAGGTTTGAAATGAAACTGTATTCCAAACATATGGTGATAACATGCAAGCGCAATGTTCCTTCTACAGTATGTAGAAGTCAACATGCTCTTGATAATGGTGATAGCTATCCAGTCAACTCTAGGAATGCGATGTCCCTGTTAAATGCACAAGTAAAACATAAAACAAAACTACAGTGTGGACATTTATTTGAAGACATGTTTAATATTGTTTTTGTAGCTCAAAGAAAGTAGTAATGCAGAAAAAAAAACAAGACAGTGGCAAGCAAGAGGTCAAGATATGAGGACCTTAAAGGCAGACTCTGTCACCAAGAAACCTCTATTCATCTCAATCCTGCTGTTTTCACATCTGGGACAGTAGTTGAGCAGCTCCCAAACAATACATTATCATGGTACCTTTAGTAACTTTTCCCTTGTAACTCAAGAGGCACAAACAACAGGTCCAGTAAGACACAATACAGTGATGGCTGACATCCTGACATACGCGTACATTCTGTGTGTCTCATGTATGAAATATGTTTTGTATGATCCCTCATAAAAACATCCAGCTTTCTCATACAGTCTAGGCAGTGCATTCGATACAAATACAAACAGCAAAAACACATTTTCAAAGGTATACTCCATCAGTACAAACTGCTAAATATAACAATAAATGTGCAAACAATGGGCGCTGAAGGTACAATGAAAAGGACTCGCATGTTGTTCCCTTGTTATTACTCTATTTCAATGTCGAAGTATGATGGAGAGGTCCACATAAAAAGTTTTTTTCCAAAATCTTTGAGATTACAGTTTCATTAGCGTAAAAAATTAGAAGAATTAAGTTGTAAATTTGTGTGAAATTTCATAATTCGCTTTCAAACTAGGCTGAAATTATTATTCTGAAAGCTCGTATGGGAAGAGGAGCCATACACCTGCATGGAAATGATGAGAGTGGAACCCTGAAAGCCATTCCCTCTGCTACACAAGAGACAAATTTCCTCCAAGTCAGTGTGCTTCTTTCTTTGGAAAAGCCTCAGTTTCTTGCAGTATCTTTTCAGGGTCCTGATACTCACGACAATGTGATGCTGACGTGCAAAAAGAATGTTTAGTTTAATATCTGCATACAGTATGTAAAGCCCCAACGCGACTTATCGGGTATTTTGAGACCTTATCAGACTGTTTTTTTTTAAAGCAGCTCATCCCACATACAGTAAATACTCAGTCAATCTGTGTTACAGGCTACACAAGGAAGTATTATCTGATTTGTGAAACTTATACTAAAGTATAACTTCTCAAGATGCTTCACGTTCCTCTTTTTTTTTTTACAGCTCCTCTGACATAACTATAGACTAAAATGACGACTTTATTCATGTACATTTTCAAGTTCATTCTCAAAATTTTGACTTTCATCTCGAAATCTCAGATTTTTCCCCCTTAATGTGGCCCTAACACTCCTTCATACAGATGTGTCTCAGTATAAACAAGATAAATAGGAAAAATAATTTTGACTACAAAATTCTGCAAAGATCTGTTTGTGACTGAAAACTGCCCCCAATATGAATATCAAAACCTAAATTCAGTTTTTAAAATACATTGGAGATACATTTCCATATATTATTCCAGTATTAAAGAATACAAATGTGTTAATGCAATAACTTTTTTTTAAATCAGTACATACTGTAGGCAGTGATTTGAAAGTAAGAGGACGCAGATTTGTTCAAAAAGCTCCATTCTATAGTGATGCATATAGTGAGGATTAGCTTGAATATTGTATTAAAAACATGTAACAAAATACTGACTCCAGATATTATTATGTATTTCTCTCATGTACTATCGCCTTGTTACTGTTGTGAAACATTTCTATTTTGACATCATTTTGAAGGCACCTGATTGCTTTTGCAAATAATTCCATCAACATCTATCATATTATTTTGCCTTATCTCTTAAGTGAAGCATTTGTTTTACTTTTCTCAACATGAGGGCAGCAATCAGCGCACATACAACCAAAGTGAGCACATACAACCCGACAAAGAGAGCGGCCTCACTGCTCCCGTGCAGCACCGAGTACAGTTCTCTGCGGCCCACAAAGTCCAGGTAGGAGGCCCGGATCTGACACAGGGTGCAGCAGGAGAGAAAAACGTGGAATATCTGATGACTCTGTCCGATAAAGTCGCACCGCCCGGGTAAGCAGCATTCCAGAAGGGGGAAGCTGAAAAAGGTGGCGCAGCTGAGAAAGAACGCCACCTGGCCAAAGTGATAGACTATAGCTGGGTCGTTGCTTTCTGCTGACCAGGACATCAGCCTTTTAGCCACAGGACTGCTGTCCCAGATATATGCCAGTGCAGAGGGCACCACCTGGCATACCTTCCGCACCCAGTTGGGTTGGCTGTGGTTGCAGTATTTGCCGTAGCAGCAACCCAGGCATGACAGACAGCTGAAAACAGTAGCAGCAGGCATGAAGATCCAATTCACATAGCTGTGTAAGCTCTCATCCACAGCGTAATAAAAGTGGACTATAGCGCTGCCGTACTGATACTGCGCCACCCCAACATAGTCCAAGAAGAAGAAGACATAGTGACACAGCTCAGACTTGCCCCCCAGTAGGTGAGCTAATGCACTGAATGCCGAGTAGATCAACGAGGACAGGATGAGGATCAACAAAGGCCACGAATGATGATCACTGGCAAAGTCCACCGTCTCCGAGAGCTGCAGCAATTTAACAAGAACAATGAAAAATGCCAGCAGGTGAGTCCAGATGTTGATGGTCTCATTGTGCCGCTGGAATAATGACAGGAAGTAGTATCGCCAGTTCTGGTTGAGCGGTCTGTAGCCGGTGCAGATGTGGCGCTCCCTGAAGTAGCATGGAACTTCCATGTCTCGGACGGTGCCGGGCATGGAGGGTGCAGCCTCAGTCAGAATCCGGGGAAACTCCCTGATCTGCTGCAGGCTGATGAACACTCGCCCGATTCTCTCCATCACAATCGTCGCCATGACGGTCAGTAGCTGTGTGATGCACAGTGGCTGGTTCCTGCAGAGGAGTTCAAATTAACAGAAATTCATACATTTTGCTGTAAATTGAACAGGCTTTAAATATTTCTTGCTAAATTTATCATCATCAGTTTTGATCAAAGTAACAAAACACTATATCACTGACACAATAATCGTCAGCAATGAAAGACTGTTTATCCTTCACGTTTTTGGAGAACTTTCAATCATGTGTATTAGAACTGTTGGGGGTGTTACATCATAGACGATACAAAAACAGGTATCTGTCCTGCTGTTCAAAAACTAAGGGTGGTCTATTGTACTCTTCAGCAATCCAAACCAGAGCTGTAATCTGAGCAGTGCTCTCTTAGCTCATGCTGCTTTGGCTGTTTTAAAGAGTGCTGATTTATGGAGATGTTCCCACTGGAAAGAAAAAAGTCAATTTTGAGAATAGGATCAGTGATATTTTATTTTTCCATCATCTAAAATCCTTGCTGTGAGCTGAAACAGGGTGGAAAGAGGACATTATTACTGTGTTACAGACATACCAGAAATCAGCAGACTCTTTGAAGGTTGCATGGAAACTTGAAAAAATCTCAAGAAAAAAGTCTGGAAATTGTGACAGAATTTCAACAAAACCAAAAACACAAAAAAAGGCCTGAATTGATGGTAAAGAGTGTCTTGAAATGAGATGTCTAAATCTAAATGAGTTAAAACATCTTACTGAAAGACTCGTGTTGACTCGACTAGAAACCTGATGTCACGTAACAAATTCATCAAACAGAGAAGGTGCCAGACCATGCAAACATTTAAACATTCATTTGTGATTGCAGAAGCCAATGAAGCTTTCAAAGCTAAACATATGATGTTTCTCTGTTATGCGACAATGGTTCCATCTTATAGGTTTTTTTTGTCCAGGATTTTTATTGTCTGGTTATATAGAGGTATGATCGACTTTAAAGTTGTTTGTGAGGCTTGAGACCAAGAACTTAGTGCAGTATGCTATATGTGGTAACCTCATAGCATGCATATAGAGCTGGGCTGTGGCAAATGAGAGGTACTTCCTGATGACTCTTTTTTTGCAGTTGTAATTCGCCAGTACTTGACATCTTCAACCACATTGATGGTCTCATTATTGACCCCGTTGTTTATGCGTGGAAAAATATATTGAGACTGTTTTTTTTAATATATATTTAATGTTAAGTGAGAAGACTCAAGCCAATTTTGCAACTGAGTGCAATGAGTCATTAGGTGGGCAGCAGCTTAGGGCGCGGTCACACTGGTCATCTGTACCGTGCTGTACCCAAGCACGCTTTGTGTTATTATGAAGCGTGCTCAGTTTACAGACAGGTGGACGAGAGAGAGAGAGAGACGCGCAGTCGAGTCCGCAGCCGCACATCAGAGAAAAACACAGAGCATGACAGCTACTTTACTGACTTTACAGCTTATTTTAAGCCATTTTAATCAGACACATAAATTAATTTAAAAATAAAATAGACGAGTCCGTGCGTGAGTCCGCGGACGCCCGCACATCGGAAAACAACACAAAGAACATGACAGCTACTTTGTGGTTTATATTGTGTCATTTTAGTCAGATACAGACATGAAACTCTGGATTCCTCCATAATGAAGGCTGTCAGCTTTGTGTACCCGCGTGCTTGTGCTCGTGCATGAAGTGTAGCCTACCGTGCCGAAGCACACCTCTCCGAAGTGTGCCAAAGCCAAGGAAGTGTACTGTGCCTGAGCACGACACGGAGCGGTCACACTGGTCAAACGAACTGGATTTCAGCGTTGAAGCGTTTTTTGGGCACCGCACGGATGGCCATTGGCCACTGGCCATAGTATCGTCAACACACATTTGGCAGCCAACTGCAGGACAGAACTCAGGTAGCTTGTTGATATACATGCTAAATAGTAGTGGGCCTAGAACTGACCCCTGGGGTATCCCCATGCTGATCTTATGGAAGATGGACTTTTGCCCATTGACTCTGACACACTGCACTCTTCCACTCACTGGTACGAGTGCGAGTCAAACCATTGCGAAGCCTGATAAGAAAATTGAAATTTAGGAAGTTTGGACAGCAACAAATAGTGGTTAACAGTTTCAAAGGCTTTTTCCAAGTCTATGCCTTGAAATCAGATATTTATGCTGACTTGTCAGGTGAATGTGGCATATAAAAAGTGTGATGATGTATTTATTTTTTACTAGAAATAATAAACAATATTCTTAGTTAAACCAAAAAAGGTGTAGCCCCTTGCTACATTTCTATTTAACATAAAAACATGAGAATGTCACTGTCTCAATCTAGAAAACAAATATAAAACATGTCGAATTGAATAACCTAGTTTATTCGTTTTTCCACCAAGATTCATACATATATTGTTATCGTTGTTGTTTTTCTTTCCCCATTTCCTTTCATGAATCGAAGTAAGGGTATCGTTACAGCTGGTGAAACAGGTGTGGCTGCAATTTTAAGTTTAACTCGACTAAAAAAACATATTTTCCCCTCCTTTGTGCCCCTTATCGTCATGGTGACAACAGAAACCCGCACCTTTTTCCTGTAAACTAGCTGCCCCGGGCGAGAAATTGTTGTAAGGGGTCGAATATCTTCACACACAAAAAAGTTTTTTTTTTAAATACAATAACCTAAGTCGTATCGATTTAGCCGCAGACCCTGTCAGGCCACTGACTCCTCGCACTTAAAGCCGGGGTAGTTTAGAAAAGTTCTGCTGCAACATGAAACTAACTTCACCAGCGCATCACATCGTCAAGTTTCCTTCTTTTTTCTTTTTTTTTACGGTTCATATAGGCCTACTGATATACTGATACTTTCTGGATGTCTCACCTTGTAATGACAGCTTGTTTCCTTCAGTGTCCGCAGCTGAAGTGACCTCTTCCTCCTCCTCCTCCTCCTCCTTCTCCTTCTCCTTCTCCACCCGCACAGAGAAATATGCAACATGAATCGTTGTTCTCAAGTGAGTAGAAAGCAGTGCGTCAAGTCACTGCACGTCCCTGAAATACATCCGGAAGTCTGATCATACAATTAAAAGCATTTAAATTTGATTTCCGTTAATGGAAATTGGTAAGTAAGGAAAACTTGATTGATTTGAATTTGTTGTTTCATTTAAAAAAAAAAAAAAAAAAACATTTGTCGAACAGTTTTGGAAAATGAAAAAGATTAGCGACAATTTAAACAAGGGATGCATCGGTATTGGGTGATATCAGCCTTTGCTTACAAACATCAGACCATTTAAAAATAATCTGGCATGCACTGAAGTCATTAGCAGATGTGTTTATATTAAGTTGCAGAATTCATAGCTGGCTGGCAAGTTCAGAAATCAGTTTTTCAGTGACAATTTCAAACATTGGTATCGGTATTGACCCTGCTTTTCATATTCACTTGCATCTCTCATTACAGCCAATGGTAAAGTCACATACCTTTGCATCTTGACTGCAAGTTCACAGCAATGCCACAGTGACTTTTAAAAAATATAATATCAAAATATAATATGCACAGTCTAAATGAACGGGTCCGAGGGCAAATTGGAATTTAGTTGTTTTATTTTGAAAGCTGACACCGGAACTACTTCTGTTTTCTAAACGGACTTGACACCGGTAAGATTAGTCGGAAGAAGGTGCTTTGCCAGGTCTCGAATGAATGTGCCAAAAGAAAACCTCGACTACTGAGGTGTGTTAAACCCCGGAAAATATGCGTGAATAAGATTTACACCGAGTCTAAAATTAGATTAGTAGCCTAAAGAAGCTGTTTTTCTGAAATATCCATGCTTCTCTGTGTATAGATAGACTACCTTAAATGTCATAAGAAAATCTCAGGAGTCATCAACGAGTCACAAACGTATTACACTCAGCCCTTCAGTAGATGTAGAGTAACAAAAACAAGTCCTGAAAACACTTAAAGTGGAGTATTTACGGTAAGAGGGAAAGACAGAGAAAGGTATTCTGGCTGTGTGGGTGTGAACTTCTGGAACATTCTTGCTCAGTGAATCTGCAAAGGAGATCTTTTCTAAACACAGACCCTTGTTTGTACATACATGACATACAGTCAATCATCCAGACCGGGAAAAAAAAACTATGACCACACCATTTAAACATCTTCTTAACAACGCCAGAGAGTTCAGGATTCTTTCCGGAGTTTTTTCATGAAGGCGTGGTGAACCCAGGAGGATTGTAGGGATGACACGAAGACTTTTCTCAGCAGGCTTGTGATTATGAGTACATTTTTTGGAAACAGTTGACACTTTTAAGGAAAGTCTGACATGTAGATATGTCATGCCCCCTTAATTGGACAGTGAAGATCCTGCACCAAAGCAGGAGTATTATATATTAACAGTATGTCTGAAAATGATACTGGTTTATCTTTTCTGGATCAGAGACAGCAGTGCAATACCTGCCAGGTCACCTCCTAACCTGCAATGATCAGAATTGGCTCTGTGGTTTGACCTTTTCTGAATGTAAACCTACCAGTGTGCCTACATATTTTCCTAGACTCTTTTGAGTTCAACATTCTCCAACAGCACAGGTCAAGTAATGTCCAGTGTTTGATTTAACAACTGAGGTCAGCACTGAGGCTGACAAGTCAGCTGTATTCTGTTTTTCATTGGCAGAAAAACATATTTTCAGTGTCTCATAACCAAAGGAGTAAGAAATGTGATGGTGTGAATATGTTTCTTTACAAAAAGGCCAAACAATATAGAGAAAGTTTCTGCAGGGATTCTCAGAGCGAGATCTTTTCAGTTTGACGGCTCATATCAGGAACAGCAGGTTCCTTATGCAGACTTAGAACAGAGACTAATAACACTTGAAGATGATCTCGAGTGTCAACAGTTCTCTCTCTGTATTGGAGGGGAAACGTTCCCAGTGCACAAGACACACTCTACCAGTTTGACTCTTCAAAAGAAGGTTTTCTTTAAAGGAATCTTGCAGCTTTAAAAATCCTATATAAGTGGAAAAACAGGCTCCAACTGAACATGTATTATGCTGATAGTAACAAATGCACAATGAGAAATGAGTCATTTGCACACTGAGAAATGTAAAGCTTGATTAAGTTGCATTCAACCAAATGAGAACGACAAATTTGCAAAGCCTCATGATAGCTTCTAAGAAGTGACATATTTATTTTATTGAAACATATATACAATTGTTACTGTACTAGTAAAGTGTATTACCAAACCAACAAAATGATTGGTTGATGTCAAAAGCCAAATATCATTATCCAGAAAGCATTTATATCACTTTATTTAAAGCTCAACAAAGACATATAACTCTGTGATAAATGTATCTGTTCATCTTATATGCGCCGCCCCTTTCTGCTGTCAATCTCAAAAGTATCACCAATGATTTGGCACCAATAAATGAGTGGACAATGACACCTTAAATGTTTTATACACTGTGTGGTTCCTAGATTAAGTCCAAATGACGTGTATTTTAACATGAGACCCAGCAGGGGAGTGGATATTATTTGACCTCTCACGGCCCTCAGAGGTCAAATCTAATTTCCCTCCACATCTGATAAACCTAGAGTAAATGTTAAAACTATGCTAGACATTTCATACTTTTAAGAAAAAAAAGAAGACGATATCCCCACAACAGGAAATTACACTCTGTGACTGAAACATGCTGCACACACAGAGGCTGAAATACACACACATGCACAAACAGGATCCTATGGACATGCGCTAATGGAGAGATGTCAGAGTGAGAGGGCTGCACATGGACGAGCACCCAAGAATTTGGGGATTGGGTGCCTTGCTCAAGGGTATATTAGCAGTGCTCAGAAAGCTACCTGACCGATTTCCAGTCCCTACAGACTGAGCTTATGCTGACTGAAGTTTTTCTCTTCTCATAAAATGCATTGTGTCATAATATAAGAACTTATCTGCTCTACTTTATCTTCGACACTTGGCAAGTTATTGTTTGTCTCTCGACTAGAGGGGATTGCTGAAGTCTTACTTTCAGAGTTTTAAATATAGACACAAGTTTTTCACTCCTTCACGCCCTTCCCTCCGTGTATATCTCTGCAACAAATTTTGACACACTTCCTGTTTCTAACCACATTTCCCTGCTCGATAACTTCAGTTCCTGCACTCAAGTAATCTACATTTGTATTGCTCTAATTTGTTCAACCTGTAAGCTTTCACTAGGTTACATTTTGCCATTTCCATCTTTTGTTGCTATTTTTTTTATTTTTTTTTATGTATGGTCAACTTGAATGTTTCTGCATTTTGCCCAAAGTTTTTGTTCTATTTCACCCTGTTTTCAGTTGTTCCTAGGACATGGTGCATGGGGTTACACATGTTTAATGATATGTTTCAAATATGACCGCAAGTATTCTACTAAACTGAATACAAACATTGTAAGCTAATTCACGGCTTTTCACCAGAATTCCAGATGTACAATCTAACACTTTTAATTCCTTTCAGCCAACAGGGAACTTATCCCTTAAACTTCCTCAGAGCAGAAGTAAAATATACTTGAGTAAAAAGAGAACTGTATATGCTGCCATCCACTTATCACTGAAACAGGGATGATAGACAAATCCCTGAAAGCAAAATACTGTTTCATAACAAGAAAGGTGTATTTAGACCAAATACTCCTTGTGTCTGTTCTGCAGCCGGAAAAGGTGAGGTTAATTTGCACAGTACGAATGGCCACAAATGCTGTAATTTTTTTGGGTTGGATCACACAGTTCAGACTTTTATTGTTTTCTCTTCACAAATAAAAATTGTAATCGACACATAGTTCTCTATAACTTGTACAAGCTTTTTTTTTTTCTCAATGTGGTGACTGGTTTGTGGCACCATTTCCTGTAACTCTGCTGCATATCCACAGGGGGGCAGTGTTACCTTTTGTAACTATGTTGTGTTCAGCAGATCGTTCTTCAAACTGCAACATGGGATGACATGCATTTCAATTTTGAGAACATTAAAAAAGAGGGCATTCCCTCAATAATACTTCAAATAAAGGTTTAATGAATGAGTATGAGTTTTTTGGTGGGTAATGAAACAGACTGGAATGAATACTGATGCCTCTATTTGAGCTTCAAAAGTAAAGACCTTCAGCAAAAAGATTGCATATTTATATCTGGATGTTTTAAATGCTTGTTACCATTGAAACAGGGTCAGAATCATCTAAAGCAGTTAACAGGATGCTGCAGAAGAAGCCTTGGTTACATTTTCCATGGCAAAGATTCAAAGTGAGTTACACGTTTTGCTGCTAGACAAATGCAGATTTTTTTAATTTGTGAAAACCACAACTTTTATGCAGGACAAAATCAGTAAAGCTATAAGACCTACCATTTGGTCCACAGGGGTCGCCAAGATCAACACAAAATGAATATTCTTCACAGTAGTTTTAAAGTGCACCAAAGCTGAGACAAATTCCTGGCTGCTACAGGGCCTTATTAACCTCTTAGGAGACCCAGGGGCAAAAGTTAGATGTGGGCTCCCGTTCCACCGACATTACTCTAACTCTTTGTATTGTCTAAGTACTAAACTTCATGCATGTGGTGTTGGATACAGCCAGTAAACACTTGTTAAATAATTTACTCACATTTTTATTATGGTTTACTCACTTTTTGTAAAGGTTTGCGTCCAATTGAACTTCATTGATTAACAGGGCAGTGCTAAGCTCTTGTTCCTGTTGTTACATGGCTGCAGTAGCTCGTCTTTGACACACAAGTCAAATTAAAGTTTAATTTCATGTGCGAATGCCACCCATGGACATCCATCAGTTTTTCAGTCATCCTCCAGGAAATAGCCCCAAAATCCCCCTCTTGAGGGTGCTGGGGCTCAGGAGATACTGCAAACTGATGACAAACCTAACACATTATGCCATACACTCAGTATGTTTACATGCACAGTTAAGCCAATCTACAGTTACAACTGTATCAGGACGTTTAATTGGACTTCTGTCCTTGTCCCACAGGGGGCAAAT